TAATTTTGGCTGTATCAAATAATGAATTAAAACTCATGTGTTGAATATTTATGTTGGGGGTTGATTTATTATTTAGATATAAAGCCAGGTTTACATGTATCCAGTAACTGGCATGCCAGTGCTTAACTTGGACAGGACATTCGATTATCGTCAGTGTCTTATTACTTTTGCAAAAATGTACGCCAGCGACTGAACGATGTGTTTACACGTGTCTACAGCCGTTGACGAGGGGTTACAGGGGACGCGAACGAGGGCCACTGGCATCCAGTTGAAAATACATTTAGTTTAGTTTTTATTGTCAATGTATCATCCCCCTCTAATTTGACTCCTATTAAGTTTTCTCCAATGGCACATTGGGGAAAGGCTGGTGATATCGAAACTGGTTAGCATATTGTTAAAATTGTAATCTATTTCTGCTAGTTTCTAAAAGAGTTTTTATTGAATGTTGTTTTGTGGAGATAATAGCTGTATTATGTCTAAGAGGCACTTCGATAATCTGCGGCAAGGAGAACACATGCTGTTGCAAATTGGTCTGAATGGTGCATTTTCTTTGTGAATTTTTGTGACTCCAATGTGATTTGCAAGTAATTCTATTAACCATGGAACGTTTTGGACCAAGTTTACTTTAAATGATAATACATCCACAGACCCGTCATACAGAAGAAGTTTTTGGTGCTGTAGAGCATAGCATACAGGAAGACCTGAATCAGTCTACCTGCCATCGCGCACAGCATTGGATATGTGCCCATCCACTTTATGGAAGATTTTGCTTTGCATGCTTACAAAATCCAACTCATGTAGGTACGTCATCACCTAGCAAGGAGAGTGAGCATTCGGTGAGTGGGTCCAAAACGAGATTGCCGTTGATTCCGATTTTCATAAGCGAATTTCGTTTAGCGATGAAGCTCACTTTTGGTTGAATGTCTACATCAACAAAACTAAACTGCATAGTCCTCAAATGTATGTTAAGAAAACCAGACTGTGTGAACTGGTGTGTTTAATGGTCTGGTAGAATCATTGGACAGTACTTCTCCAAAATCATATTTGTTTTATTCCATTTCATGTTCTATATCTCTAAAAAAACACTCTATTTAACACTGCATTAAATAAAGTACATATTTTAACGCAAATTTCTACTAAAAACAAAAAACATTTTAATACCTGATTTTGCTGAAAATTTATATTTATTTTATTATAATTTCAGATAAATTAAAAAAGGGTTAAATAACTTTTCTCTTGCTTGGTGTAGAATTACTCATAATCAAGTCTTTAATTAGGCTGATTACAGCTGATTACTCAAATTTAAATTGTACTGTAATAGATCAGTTACAGTACAATTTAAATTTGATTCGTTTGTAGTGATTGTGTCATTGTTTCTGTTGAGTTGGCTGTCTTCAAAATATTAACTCTCGTAATCATCTTTTGTCATTGGATCTGACTCCGATAAGAAAGTGTTTATATTGACCTGCCTCTAATCCATTAAGCGTCCTAGCGGCGACAATTTGGTTGTCATTCATTTTTATTTCTATTAATTCTTTATGGGACACTATCGTAATAAATACTTACATGGAATTTAACAAGTAATGTGAGACATGCCAGTGTAGCGATCACTTAACTTTACCGCCAAAACTCGAAAGATGTGAATTCCGCTAGGGAAGCCATTTCAGTTTTTTTCATAAATAACCTAATTTTTAGATTTTGATTTGTAAATGTTTTAAATAATTAAATATTAATGGAATTTATTTTTTCTTTGGTAACGTTATGTGGATCTGTAGGAAATTTCGAATCATAGTTACTACAGAAACAGTCTCGACCTCAACCAAGACAGCCGTTTTATGTGTTTCTTCTGTGATAAAATGCCAACAATTTTTTAATATTTTTTCTTAACTCGACACCATTTAATTTAATCCAGAAAAATTCATTTTAAAGTGTAACAAATAAGATCTAGTATTTTTATTCATTATCGTCCAATCCCTCACTTTCAGGATTGCGATATTCCCATCTTTCGCTAGGTTTCTGGCTTCCATCATGTGACCTTAATCAATAAGTTGTTTTTTATTCTCTCCATATATCCCAGCCATATCAGTCTGTGCGCTTTAATAAATCTCTATATTTTCTCTCTTCGTAATGTTCCTTGTTTCATGGTTCATTCTTCTTCTATTGGGCTCATAATTCTGAGGAATTTGTTTTCGAAAATTTTTATATCTTTATCTGTGAAGCACATTGTCATAGCTGCTTATGTAGCTATGTGTAACCTGGTCTGGTTACAAATATTAAGTTTTTGTTCTTCATTAACAAATAAATGGTATCTCCAGAATGTACTGCGAAAGTATTTAAATTGTTGAACTCTTTCAAAAGTGTAGTTTTCCATTTTGATTTCTCTCGTCTTGACATCTTTTCTAGAGCAGGTTAGATATTTTGTTTTTCCTTTTTTGTTTTTTCCTATTTTGTTAATTTCTAAACCTCTTTTCCGTTCTTCATATGCCAGTATTTTTAATATTTCGTTTAATATTTCTTTATCTTTTGCGACATTCCGCTGACCTTGACTATTCTTTCTACACTGCTACGTTGAATAGTGGGGTTGACAGGGAATCCTTGTCGAACTCTTGTTTCTATTGCAATTACACTGCGCGTCATTGAAAAGAAGCCACCTAAAATTGTTTAATTTTTACCAACCGTACAAGAAATTGTCATTGGATGTTTGTGTAATGTTTAGGAATATGTTTTAAATCAGTATGCAACCATTTCTTAAATAACAAATGTAAACAAAAACTTTTCCCAAAATGATGATTTTAATGGAAAATTTTAAAAATGAACATTGTAAATTTTCTTCGTCATTCTTTATAAAAATAACGATAAAGTCGTAATTTTTAATATTCTGTTTTACCACCTCTATTTTGAATTACACTCCTCATTCGACTTGGCATTAAATTAATTCAATTCTAGATGTTGTTCTGAGGAAAAGCTTACTATTCTTCAATGAGTAGCAATGAGCATATTGGAGCAGTTACTCTGCTTCTTGATCTTCGTTTGAGTTAGTCCCAAACATGCTCAATCGGGTTCAAATCTGGGCTTTGAGCCGGCCAGTTTGTTTTTGGCACACCGAGGGTTTCCAGGCATTGCCTTAACATTCTGGCTACGTGTGGCCGCGCACTGTCTTGCATGAAAATAAAGTTTTCGCCCACAAATTCAGCAAATGGGATTGGATGCTCGTCTGGATTTCGATAATATATCGGTGAGCATTCAACGCTCAGTACGGCCTCCGAATGAAATGCCTGCCAAAATATTACAGGGCCTTGTCCAAAAGCAACACGTGCTAGTCGAGCAGAAGCAGCATATCGTTCTCCACGTCTTCTGTACGTTTTGATGCGACCATCTGAGCCATAAAGAACTAACTTGGACTCATGACTAAACAAAACATTTTTCCAATCTTCTATCGTCCAATGCTCGTGGTCTCTAGCAAACTCAAGTCTTCGTTGTAGATGTGCTGCTGTTAACAAAGGTCCGGTTGCTGGGCAGCGAGCCCTAAAACAAAATCCCCTTAACCTTTTTCTCACTGTAGAGGTGCGTTGTAAATAAGTCTTCTCTGGCCGTCGTGATTCTTCTCGCACCTGATCTTGGTCGTCGTTCGTGAGATCCAGTCTCTATGAATCGTTGGTATATTTTTTGGAACATACAACGACTGACTCCAAGCTGTATGGCCACTTCTCTTTGACTCATTCCGGTATCGATCAAAGTAACAATTTGAACAGATCTAGCAAATCTCGCAGCCACAGCTTTAAATTTGAAAATTGTACAAGTTCACTCTTTGAACAACTGTACACTAATATAAAATTATTGAAAAACAGCCATATTCCAAGAAAAACAACGTACAAACAACACGTGCATTCTCCGAAGTCATAAAACTGATTCCAGTTCTGCGAACTTATTACCCTTAATTGACCTGTCTATACCCAATGGCGGTGCATGCATTGAGGCTTTTAGTTAAAATAGAATAAATTGCATAAACTTAAATTTTGAAATTTTTTTATAAAATTCTATTTAATGACACGCAGTTTATTTGTGCTATCTTTTTCTGTTGATTGATATTTTAGTCGGAATCCTCCATAGTCATTTTTGTTAATCTGATTAGCTTTGACGGTATATTTTGATTTTTCATTTCAATTTTCTTTACTATTAGCTGGCAGTAGTCATAATTCTTGCACAGCAATATTTATCTTCTACAGAACCTTCATAGGGTAAAAGTACACCAGGAAGAATGTTACACATCTTTAATAGGTTTCATGAACTTGACACAAGGTCTTCTCTTTTTGTCGCAATCAGGATTCTCCAGCTCATTCCTGCATTTTTCGGTCTTCCATCTCTTCCACTCCCCATAGGCTCCAATCCATCATAATGCTTATCCATTTATTTGCCCTTGCTCTTCTTTTCTGTACGTACTACTTTCTTCAATGTATTCAATTATGTTCCTTCGATTTTTCACATTTTCACTTATTAATTCTGCTAACTTCTCAAGATTTTCACCAGAAGTTCATCTGCACTTTTGTAATGCTTTTTTGTAACCCATATCTCTGCTCCATTCGTCATGATACTTATTATTGTATTGAACATTTTATGTTTGGTGTACTAGTATACGTTTTTATGCTTAACTGATAATGTTTTCGGGAATTTCATCACCAATTAATTTCCTTAATAATTTGAATTCAAATCTGGACTTTAGAATCCAAAACCTTTACAATAGCTCGAAAGAAACAAATTTTGCTTGATATTTTCATCTATAATTACAATATCTTGTATCTTCAACTAGGATCATTCTTCTTCTTCTTCAAGTGCCATCTTCGTTCCGAAGGTTGGCGATCATCAGGGCTATACGTATTTTCGAAACTGCTGACCGATATATCATCACTCACTTTATCCTAATTTTAAATTCATTAAAAATTGCAATAATACAAATATTATATAATGTCAATAATTGTAGTGCTTCAATAATGTTGACAATATATTTGTCAGTTTGATATAAGCATTTTCAAAAATTTTAGCATATTAAAATTTGTAGCAATGTTTGAAGGTATGTGTTAGCTCTAACGTAAATAGCGTTTATTAAATAATATGTACATATTACGAGAACTCCTATCAATATATTTTACACACATCAATACAACAGGCTATGATATGCAGACGATTTAATTGTAGGGGGATCAATAGGCGAACTTAACATTACAATGAGGCTTACAGCAACAAAGAAAATTGGACTAAAATAAAAGACAATACAAGGTACATACTTTAAAAGTACTCATATTTTGTCGTTATGTATTTTTGTTGTCTTGATTTCCTGGTAGCTTTTCGCCAGATCTCCATTTCTAAGGACAGTTCTCGACGTTCTAGGGATTTGCTTAGTTGCCATGCTTTGCATCTATACAATACGATAATTTTAAAGATCGAGTTAAAAACGGTCTTTTGTTTATAGTTAAGAATTGTTCTTTATAAAGCGTTTGCTTTCTCGAGATATATCTTTGGACCACTATATTAAATTAAGACAACCTTTTTTCCTCTTCCCACCTTTCTTCTATTTTGTTTTCAGTCCGTCACTGGTTAATTGTGTCTAAATATTTTATAGATTTATAACTAGAGGAGATATCTTCTTCTTCGCGTGCCATATCAGAATTATCCGCACCATTGCGAAGGCTTCTCGATCTTCTGCAATATGGAATAATTGTCCTGCATTTGGTATCTGAGTCACATTCACGAATGTTTTTTAACCAAGAAACTTGTTTTCTTCCTATACCTCTACGGCTCTCTTTTTTTTTTTAAGAGAAATTACGAAGAAATGCATGGAGGGCTAGGCTTTGGAAGTAGAAATGAAGCTGATATATGCTGGACATCGACGTAAAACGCGCAAATAAACCAAAATATCGGAGATGATAAAAAAAGCAAGTGGTGGATGTCAAAAAGATGAGAAAGGTCTATTCAGACCAAAACTAGTAGAAAAAATGTGCTGGAACATGATTTCATTACGATGGAATTCGTAATACAATTTGGTTGAATATCAGCTGTATTATTAGGAATACTTCTATTGAAAGTATTCCTTATATTGAATACTTCTATTGAAATACTTGGAAAAACTTTTGGAAATACGTTTGGAAGAGACCTGGTGGTGACCAAACGAAGTAAGAACTTCCCCAAGTTCTGATGCATAGTTCAGAGACTTGGTGCTCAAGTGGTTGGGCACTACATACCCGGTTTTTTGAGTTTTATTTATTGTTTGGGTCGCTTGCGCGGTTTTTTGTTAGACATTTTTTGATTTGACCGAGACCTTTTTTTATGTTTTTTATTAATTTTTTTTAGTACGATTTTGTGGTGGTAAGATCTTCTTTGTTGGCGCCTACATGGTGCTTTGTGGTTGTCTGAATTGGTAGAGCTACGAACTGTCCTGTTTCTTTCCTTTATTTTCTCTCTAGGGTTTTGTATTCTCTCCAGGTATTTATTTGTTCTCTTTCTTGAGTTTGTTTTCTTTATAAGATTTGAATTTATTTTTTTCTCTTTGGATACCTTTACTATGGTATCTGGATTAACCCTAATTTGTTGCAGTTATCTGAAAAGGGATAGTTCTTGGAATATTAACTGCTTCTCTTAAGGTGCTGTTGTGAGCCAAAATTGGTATTTTTTAAATTTTACAAACAGTAAACGAAATAAATATGGGGTCTGTCAGACTAGGCGCGACCAATGCAGAGTTAAACATAAATCAATAAAACAATTTGTTTAAAATTATTCATTTGAAAGAAGCAGCGGAATTTTCCCAAGTAGCTGTAACGATTCGATCATAAAGTTGTGGATAGTCAAGTAGATTTATTATAAAAATTAATATATCGATTGTATTATAGACGAAAACCAAATAAAAGAAAGTACAAACCCAGATCCTATAGCTAGTTGTATCTGTGGTAAAGTATGTTGCGAATGCAACAATGGACCTGCAGTTATAGAAACTACGAAGAAAACAATGAGTACAGGTATGTTATATTTGTATTATTAGTCTTAGATAATTTGATATTCTTTGAACATGATTGAACATTTTAGATTATTCTGTTTTTATCCTACTAAGCTTTACTTCACTGTCCCAGTTTTTGTTGTAATTTCCAATCTGCATGTTCTACTTATACTACATCGTCTTTCTCGCTCCTTACTCCTTGATACTCTGAATATTATTACCTTGCTCTCTCCATTGACTGCGATCCTGTTTAAGTATTCTCAAAATAATAATAATAAGAAAAATAAGGGCATTAACCAACCTGAGCTTAGTTATTGTTATTGTTCGGTCTTTCCATTTTTAATGGACCGCAGGAGTGTGACGTCACCTTGTCATTATTACTTTCCAAACAAACATTGAAATGTCAAATCTCAAGACTTTTTAATTCCTATAAAGTTAACATTTTGCTTCCTCTGCTGCTTTTTCTTGTAAGTATAGTGTTTTTACGATAATACCGTCATAATTCAGAGTTCTATTTCTATGAAATATGGTTTAAAAGTTTAATTAAAGAAATTTTAACCTTACTTTATTGATACTTTCATTTTATTCCTATTAGCATAAAACAATGTGCTTTATTATTTACACAACCTTGTAAAATTGTTGTAGTAACTATTAGAATACTTAAATATTGCAAAAAGCGGAAAGATTCTATAAAATAAATGAAAAAATAACGAAAAAATACAAATTATCCACACTAAACAACGTTTGTTTGGAAAGTGAAACTGGCAGATGTCAATCAAATCTACGTCATCACTCCTGTGGTCCATTAATTAAGCTGTTGCGGTTCGGGTCATTGCTAATACATATACACTTGATTCCTGAAATGCTATCGCCATTGTTGGTTATCAGGGAGCCCAAGTACACAAATCTGTCGTCTACTTCGAAATTCGCCACTTTGTGTATGTGCGGTAAATTATTATTTGCTCTGTCTAATAATTATTTTTGTTTTTTCTGTATCGATCTGTACTGTATCTGTACATCCCATTCACCTAGTACTTTCCTGATTATATATTCAGAATATATATTGTAATATAGTCCGTGTACTTTAACTTTGGCGGAGTTTTTATCGTACAGATTCCTTCTTAGGTTAAGTAGGTAGTTAGATACTCCCATATTTCCCATTATACTCCAGAGGGGTTCTAGTTTTACTGTAACCTTCGAAACAGAGCAGCATTGGTATATTATTACCTTGTTTTTTGTATCTGTCTGGTGTTCAATATCTGATCACGCCGTCCTTTTCCTGGTTCGAATCCGCATTGTTCTTCGACTCTCTTTGAAAGTATAAAGTTTTTTCGTTGTTCATTGATTATATGTAGCAGAAATTTGCTTGCATGAGGAATAATGGCAATGGTTCTGTAATTACTGCATACGGTTAGTGATTCTTTTTGTACGGATAGGGTAAAGGTTGATTCGCACCACTCGTTAGGCCATTCACCTGTGTTCCATATCATGTTACAGATATCTAGTATTACATTTTATCCCAATCTCGCTCATTGCTTTTAGAGTCTCCGCTGCTATGCCATCTATCTCTGGTTTTTTTTTGTTTCTTAATTGCTTGAGAGCCTCCTCTACTTTTGCTCCTAAAATGACTGGTCCTGCCTCTTTGATTGAATGTTTCTTGTGTTCTGAAACTGATGCATCTTTTGAAGTGTCTTCGTATAATTTTGAGCAGTAATTTTTCCATATCTCTGCAATGCTCTCTGTCAGTTTTTACTTCTCCATTCTCCATTATGGTCTTAAATGGCTTGAAGTTGTGGTTTGAACTCTCAGCCCAAATTAACTTTTCATGATAGTTTGCATATTGCTCCAGTTTTTGACACATTTTATTTAAAGGGTTATTTTTGTCTCTGATGCACAAACATTTTATAATCCTGCTTAGCTCCGCTATTCTTGAGTGTTGACTCCTCTTTTTATGGTATGTTGTAGCATAACTCTTCTTTTTTGTACTAATTCTAAAGTTTCTTCTGACATACAATGTTTGGTCTTTTGGATTTTACGCGATATGTACTCTTTTCGGCTGAATGTATCCAGCTTTTTATTCCATTTCATGTTTTATTTGTGCCTTCCTAATATTTTTGGTTTTTCTTTGTTTATCAGTTTTTGTTAAAAATATCCTCCATTAAAAAGTTGGAAGCCTTCGAAATGTGGACCTTGCGAAAGATATTCCGCATACCATAGATAGATAGGGTGAGAAAGAAGGAAGGCAACTACTGAGAGAATTACAAAACTTGATCAAGGTACGAAAAATTGGATATCTGGGCCCATATCCTGAGAGGAAAAAATATGCAATTCCTCAACTAATTATCCAAGGAAATGTACTGACGAACCTTTGCAAGCCGCAATAGACTGGCCTTTAGATAATTTGCCAACACACTATAAGAATGAGATTGCTTTCACTGGTCACTTGGTAAGGCTTCTAATGGTATTTTTATGAGTCTGTCGTTTATTGTTTCATTATTGTTTGGTATATTTGGATATATCGCTTATTAGAGCAAACAAACGTAGTAGAGGAAGACCACCTACACGTTGGGCTGACATCAGGCGTATCACGAAAAATTGGCAACAAAGAGCACAAAATCGCAAAGAATGGAGGAGTTTAAGGGAGGCCTATGTCCAGCAGTGGACGTGATAAATGAAGGCTGGATGATGATGATTGTTTATTAGTATGATTATATTATATTCTGTTTTTTTCTGAGATCCTGATATGCAGTTAAAGGTAATGGATTTTGACAAGAGCTGTGACTTTGTAAAAAACAGGTAAACTTGTGTACTAAATCGGCATGACTAATAGCTCTTGTTAAAATCCATTACCTCTAGTGTGGTTTTTTGTTTTAAAATATCCTTGACCTCTGCAGTGTTTCTGCTAAACCAGATATGCATATATTTTATATTTCTTTTCTCTGTGAAGTTTTCCAGTTTGGTCTTGTACTTGTACTCCATAATCACAGTATATTAAATACACCATAATATCAGCGTACCATCTCAAGTACCATAGTGATAGAACATAGTCTTCTTTGTATATCTTCACACATCCTCTTTTGAATTGACTATTATTATCTTAATATTTCCAATGTTAAAACTTTTAAGAATGTTTCTCCAATTGATTCTAGAATAGAATAGATCATGTACTATACTTTAAATAAATGTTATAATCGTATAAAAAATTGCCTTAGGTGATAATAATTATAAGATCGAATTAGACAAAAGTCTTTATGTCAAACAACGAGAATACTTTTTAAAAACCTGTGAAGTTCCCACGTTTACCGACGCTAAGATGACTCTTGGTAACCTAGCTACTTTTGTTTACGATAATTGTGAACCAGGCCTGAAACCTTATATTCCTTCTGAACCGCAAATGCCTTACGGAGACCTGTGGGTATCTCCTAGTGACCTGCTAATACCGCATGTTGGGTTAAAAGCTCCATTAACTCGTAAACATGTACAAGCTCTTACACACGAAGGAATATTAGGTATAATTATGGCAATATAAAAGATCCTAAAATATACAATACTTTTTTTAAACTTTGCAGATATAGGCTATAAAATCGAGTTACAGTTTATAAAAGAATTAGAAGAAAAGAAACAGGAAGCACTTGAGAACCAAAAGGAGGAATTAACAATTGAATTCCAGGAAAGTATATATCATATTATCAAAGATGCCGAAGCCAAAGAAAGAGCAAATTGTCAAAGAGAGTTAACGAGAATCACAGAGGAATTTGAGCAGAAGCTGAACGATGAGATTACCGCCATGCAAGCTGAGTAAGTTATTTAGACTTTTCAGGTATAGTAATTCTATTCAATTTAAGGTGCGGTTTCCTAGCTGAAGCTAAATGGTCCAAATTATTCAAATCAAAGTATTCTTAAATTTAATCGAAATAATATTCAGTATAATATCCATTTCTACTAACACTGCAGTGTTGCCACCACCAACATTTTATTTTCAGTAGATCTAACAGTAAAACGAACGATTAAATTCGAGAGAAGATAAGATATAGTCAATTCCCATTCTGCAGAAGGTATTTTTAATGTGAATGACTATAACTGCCAGGTAATGGTGGAAGGGGTTTGTTAACGTGCTTAGCCTTAGTTTGCAGTTAGTTGAATTGATTGTGTATTCAGGTAGTTATTTATTTTGAGCTACAATGAATTTTTTATTGTTTTGTTAACATTTTCGAGAAAAGAAAAAGCTGTTAACGATTAATGAAAGGTTAGAATCATAGTAATATTTAGAACGTTGACCCATCTTATTCTATTCACAGCAGCTCGAAATAGATCAGCTGACGTTAGACCAGTCCATTTCCTAAGATCTGTGATCCCAAGTATCCTTGATATTGCAGCCCAAATAGCCATTTTTCCACTCTTTCTAACGGTGTATCGTTAATTGTAATTTGGGCGTTTATGCCGATGTTCTTACTAGTGATCATTATTTTTGTCCTCTTGCAATTTAGTTTTAGGTCGTATTTGTTACATGCTTCTACAACTTTATCCATCATCCTTTGGAGCCCCTATGCACTATCTGCCAGCAACACTGTATCGTCTGCATATCTAATGTTAATAAGTTGGCCATTTACATCAATCACATCTTCTGATTCGTCCAAGGCGTCCTTAAAGAGCTTCAGTATGGTATCGTTGAGTTAATAATGTTAAAAACAAAAGGACAAACTTCTTTCTTTTGAAAGGATAAGAAAGCTCTTCTGAATAAAGAAAAGAAAAACAGTAGCCCAAGTTCCTAACGTGGGTACACCCATATCAGGTCCAATAATTGCTGCAAAACAGCTTTTTGACCGATTGCGCGCTGAAGCAGATTTTATTGGCGTCATCTGGGTGGTTGATTTGCTTTAAGCAATGCCATGGGATAAAGGAGATAGAATTTCATGCAGAGAAGCTCAGTGGTGACCAACAGAGAGTAGAGTATTTTTAAACGAGTTCGTTTCTTCAAATGATCTGAGTACGAACAAATTTATAATGCAGACAAATCAGGGCTCTTCTGGAAATGTCTTCCAACTCGGGCACTAGCTTTGGTAAGTGAAGGGAAAACAAATCAGCTTTCTCCTGGAAATGTCTTCCAGTTCGAACACTAGGTTTGGCAAGTGAAGGTATGGCAAAAAACAAGGCTACAAGTCCAGCAAAGAACAAATCAAGATCATGTCCTTTAGCAACGCTGTAGTAGTCAAACAGTAGATATTTTAATGGCACTAGAGCAGTTAAACTATCTGTTAATTACACCGACCAAAAGAAAATGTGAATGGATACAAAAATATTTCAAGAATGGTTTGAACCTAAAATTTTACCAGGAGCCAAAAAACTGTTATAAGCAAACAATTTTCTACAAAAATCTTTGTCGTTAAAACGCCCCTGTACATTATGAAACGCTTGTGCTTAAAATCTGGTGATGGCAAAATATTTGGCAATTTTTGCTCCCAACGTGACTACGCTAGTTAAAACTATGGATCAAAGCGTCATTAGGTCTATGAAAAGAAACCACAAAACAAAGTTGCTGTTCTCAAAAATTAAAGAAGCCTATGACTTCAGCACTATTCAGTTTATTCCTGGATTGTATTTACGAAATTGCGTCTGTAAAGTCTTGAAACAAGTTACGGAGAAAAATGTTAACCATGTGAAGCACTAGCAGTTGGAGAGGATGAAAATTAAAGCCTAGTAAGTTTAGTGATCAGAATTTACGATCAGTGTATCCTCCCTATACTCACGTATGGTTCACAGACATGGGCACTCACCAAGTCCAATATGGATAAAATAGTAAAAGCACAAAGAGCGATGGAAAGATCAATGCTCGGGGTGAGACTTATAGACAAAAAAACAAATGAATTAGAAGCAAGACCAAAGTAAAAGAGGCAGGAGTACATGCTGCCAAATTAAAATGGAGCTTCGCAGGAGACAATGCCGGACTGAAGCATAAGAGATGAACCACGAAATACAACAATAGAGACCATGGTTAGGAAAGAGAAGCAGAGGAAGACCACAAATGAGATGGGCGGATGATATTAAGAAGATCGGAGGACACATCTGGAAGAAAGTGGCGCAAAATACAAGACACTGGATTGATTTGGGGGAGGCCTATGTCCAAAGTTGGATTACTTAAGGCTGAAGAAAATTTGGTGAACTCAGTTCCTGGGAGATTATGTGGACTCAAGTAACTTGCGAGAGGTTAGACTGCGATGCTACTGATCCACAATTTGAGCATCTAACGGGTGAAGATATCCTAAGAAAACTAGGAGAAAACTAAGAGGGGAGAGATACAAAGAGGAGTTTGCACCTGGGCTACGAAAGACTCACGAAGCGGCATTTTCTCATGTGAATGATTTTCTACCAATCGAAACTCATTTCATTATTTTGCACTTTGTTTCTTAAAAATAGAAAAAAAAATGTTTTCTTAGAAAAATAAGAATAAATGCAGATTGTTTGGAAAAGTGTCAAGTAATTTAAATATTTTATTTTTATTATTACGAGTATGACCTTATTTAGTTTTAAAATTTATTTAATCATAATATATTACCTAATTGCAATATGGCTTTAGTTTATTTTTAAATTCTCGAACTCAAATTGGCTGATTAATTATTGTCAAGTTCTGAGAATTCACTTGTCTAAAATTCAACATGTTTTTGGGAAACATATATCAACCCAAAACACTTCAGATTCCTATCCGCCTTTGTGTAGCAAGTAAAGAATGTCACTTTAAGTTTAATTTACGGCTATTCACGGAGGTCTCTAAAAACAGTACCCTCTAGTCGATTTGGGGTAATAGATACGTGCCCCTTTGCAAATGATCGACCACTCTTCAAAAAACTCTCGTCCTGTACGGAAGCAAGCGCCAAGCAGATCACCACAGCAGTGTATCTCACGCCAACCCCAGCCGGGCCGACTATAGACAAAAAGGTAAGTGAATCTCATATAGAATTGACAATAAGATATAAAATCTGCCAATTGTTATTTGAATTCATTTTATTTTACATATATTTGCCACAAATATTCGCTATTTTCGCTAATCTTATATACAATCTAATATTGCATTTTTTCTTTAAAAATTATTTATCCAATACAATTTAACCAGCGATCTCTCAAGTTTAATCATTAAACACAGATTTTAAACAATCTTCAGGAATATATACAATATCTAGTTGGTTTTAAATAGTTTGGTTAGAATTTAGAAGTTTTTTTCATAATTTTTCCATTCACAACCGCTCAAAACTCTCCTTAAAAACAGTAAAATTATTTTGTTTTTCTTTTTATTATCATAAATGATACAGAAGGTGACTTATCAACATAAACACAAATATAAACACGTAATCAATAGCTCTTATCAAGTAAATTATTGCAAATTATGTCATTAAAATATGTAGTCATTGTATTGGACTTTTAATTAATACTATTATGATTAATTGATAAGAAGAACTTGCACAACCAAAATTTTTATTGCAATGGAACTTTTAACAAATCGACATTCCACTGCAATTGCTGAAGAAACCGTCTGCGTCTGCAGGAGGTTCAAAATGGGAATGTAAGTGAGATAACGGTTAGAAGACACCCAATGAAAGAGGGCTAGTGACAAGAAGGCAGGCTATTGTTCCCGAATTACAACCCAGACACTATAGGAATCGATTAATTTGTTCTCGACAATATCAACACTGAGATATACAGGATTGGAACTGAACAGGATGACCGAGAGAGGGTTTGGAGACGGAGAAATTAAAGATATGTCTAAGCTTGTATGTCCCAGAGAGGTAAGTTTGGCGGTGGTGGTGTCACGGTCTGGGCTGGAATCTCACTTGAAGCTCGAACTGAACTTATTTTCATCAATGGCAGTAGTTTCATGTGGTTCTCTTATAGGGGACAATTTCTTCTTTATGCATGATAATGCGAGGCCGTATACTGCAAGAATCCTGACATATTACTTGGGGAAAGTTGGAATTAAGACTCTAGAACGGCCAGCCTGTAGTCCCGATCTAAATATCATTGAACATCTTTGGAAATAACTTCATTGCAGAGTTATAAGTCAACCTGACCAGCCAAAAAGTCTTGCAGAACTTCAAAACACGAGAAGAATATAAACGTATTCCTTAAGTTTTTATTCAAAATTTTTTCCTTTCTCTTCCAAATCTTATGCAAACGGTTATTGATGTTTTAGGGGATAACACCCGACATTAGAAAATTTTACTTTATTTTGAATAAAAAATATTAAAATTTTGTTTAAATTCACTAGTAATTGTTATTGTTTGTAATTCGTTTCAATATCACACTATTTTCTTTTGTAGCCTTCTAATTAAATAAATTATGCTAAGAAATCAAACAGTAATGGCCATTTTTTGTTTTAAAAATAAAAGATGTTGAGAATACAATATGAAATAGTGCATAAAACTTCTAATGAATTTTTATTTTCGGAAATTTATAGGGTGGCTACTTTTTTGCCGTCAGTGTATATGAAATCCTCCACTGAATGTTATAAAATTGTTTTTACTCTCATATTTAGTGTATGTAGATTGTCACAAACCCGTTAAAAACTTAATTTGTGTTTATAGTAGTTGCATTCTTTTATAGCCGAACTTTTATTTTAGCTTGGAAACGGAATTTTCCACATTTAGTGAAACACACGACGCCAGAATAATATCGATGTGGGAAAATAAACTACATGAGGCAGTTGAAGAAACGACAAAGAATATTACTAAAAAATTTCTTGATGAACTTGCGAAACAAGAGCAGATTCTGAGCATGCACTTCAAAGCGCAAATGGCGTAGGTATTTTTAATGTATCTATTATTGGAGCGAATATTATATAGGTAACTTACCATCTACTACACTCCTATTGTTTCTTGGCCATTTTGTATGCGTTCGATTACAATTGACGATTGACGTTACTTCATTCCATCACTTTTTAACGACCATTTGGTTTCCAGTCCATATTTTACTAAATCCCTTCTTTGCTTTTATTCAAAGCGATTCGTAGCACCACTGTCTATTATAAAATTCCTTTTTACAATATTTTGAGTCCGAACCAAATTGGTTTCTTCTGCACTCAAGAATCTGGAGTGCTCTATTTACATTGTTATTTTTTCAACACTAATAGCGATCTTTCCCCATTATGGCATTTAAATTCAAAATTAAAAAGTTTTCGTCACTCTTAACATTAATACCCTTGCTTCCAGATCAGTACGCCCTTACTATGATGCAAATAGACCCGCAGAGCTCTCTAGTTTAAAACAAGCCCTCATCATCCGAAAACGGTTACCGTGAAAATCACATCAATATGAGCATCCACGGACCTTAATCTCCCACTCAATCTCAACCCAAAGACTCAATCGCTCATACGAAAGTTTTTTCCTTAAATCAAAGGTGTCACTGACAAAATCGACACAATTCTTAAATCAAGAGGAATAAAGACAATATTAACCCCCCAACAACAACTTTCATCTCTTGTCTGATCGATCAAAGACAACATTCCAAACGAACAATCCATCCGCCATGGGCAGTATCAATTGCTGGGGTAACTGCTTCAGGCATTGCAGAGTATCTGTGATTCAACTTTAGAATTCTGTTAAAAACATATTTAAACAGTAGAACCTGTGTCGAAATTCCCTTCTTCTGGTATGTATTTTCCAATGTACCTGATTTTAAACATTTCTAGTATATGGTCATGCAAACATTGCACAATTAGACTCCGGGCTTGCATATCGTTTTTCTTAATTACTCAGCAGTATCATCTACAAGTTGGAGGTTGGTAATCATCATGGCGATTCTGATCTTAGATGCTGCAGATGCAGATGTGCATCCGTACCATTCCCTCAAGTTAGGCAACCATGAGATTCTTCTCCTTCATACACTTCTCTTGCCCTGGATTTTCCCTTGTATAATTAATTGTAAGTATTTTGTAGCTTTCATTACGCATAACATGCCTCAGGTATTGCAGCTTTCAAGTTTTCAATATTTCCATTCTTTTGTTGATTCTTCTCATGACTTCGTTGTTTGTTACTTGCTTGGTTCATGATATCTTCAGGATTCTTTGTTCAGCTTCAAGAGGACGTCCATGTACTCTTTTTCTCTCTTTTTCTATTATTAGTTAAGGATATCAATAGGTAGTTGAGCTTTCGTTTCTAGTGTTCTTTATTGCATACAATATTTCTTCATTTGTAATATCTATACTTGTTTCTCTGTCCTCGAAAGATATTTCTTGTAGGTTTCCTCTTTCGTCGTCGAAGAGCTCTCTCACATAATATTCTTTCCACTGTTTTAGCTTTTGTCAGTTGTTATCATAGTATTTCTATTTTTATCTAAAACAGTTGTGTTGTGGTTTCTTCTTTTTTGCCATTTTGTTAAACTTTTTATGTATGTTGAATAAGTCATATTTGTTCTGAAGATTTTATATCTATTTACATATTTCCTCATAGTAAGTTTGTTTTGTCTCTCTTATCATTTTTCGGATTTCATTGTTAATGATTTTGTAATTGTGACTGTCTTTGTTCTTGGCTTGTCTTCTTTGATCCATCCTGCAGAGTATTTCGTCGGTCATCTAGTTGTCTCTCTTTCTTATCGGTTCTTTTAATAGCTCTGCATGGAACGAGGAGGTAATTTTTTAATGTTTCCCATGTTTATTTCTTAGGTGTTAGTATCTAATTTATCTGTTTTCGTGTATTTTCTGTTCAAGGTTCAACCCAAGGTTCATCTTGGGATAGTAGAACTAAGACACCAGCTTTTGAGTAACCAGTTGGAGAAATTTATTTAAATCAAAGGTTTTTGTTTACAACTTGGTTTGTTCCACCGTTTTTCGTTGCGTTCCGTACCACGTGTTCCGTAAAAACTTCGTTTCATTATTACCACTATGTAAGCTTCTATAATTCCCACAACTCTGGGCCCATAACCTCTAGGAATGCAGTGAGGGAAATAATCTAGAGTGAATGTTAAGTATGTTGGGTACGTAATTGTTAAGTAAAGGGTACGTTGACAAATATAAACGTTTTTATTATAACAATAATGTCTGGTTACAATATGAAATACATTCTTAACACTAAAAAAAGATCCAATATAGAATTGTAATACCAACAATATTTACTTTAGTTTTATAATTTTAATCTATTTAGAAAACTGGAAATGCGTAGAATCTATGAAAAAGAAAAAATGAAACACGAGCACAAAAAGGAACTACAGCATGCAAAGCACCGTTTAGAATGTAGGAACCTAGCACATATGATGTATATTCTTTGTATGGAAAGGAGAAAATGTTGCGAGGAAAAAATGGCACTAGAAGATTACTACAAGAAGAAAGTAGAGGGTTTAAGTAATAAGATCGTCGATCATAAAACGAATATAAAGAATCTTAAAAAGAAGGTAATTTAATTTATAATAAAAAAAAATGTTCTGATTTTGTTCAGTGTTCAGAATAACGTCAAAATAACATGTTTCTTTGACGTATTGCATTCCACATAGCAATTTTTTTAATTAATAGATAATTTTTACTAATATAGAAGAATGAAATAAACGCTTCTTTTCTTAGGAAAGATTTAATTTAATGTTTGGTGGGCTGTATTTATTTCTGTGTGTAAGACCATCTCCTGGTGGTCATATACTGCCACTAATAATGCACAAAAATCTATAGTACCTTTTCTAAGGATTATTGACTTACATTTTCTTTCAGGTCCAGAAGCAAGTGAAGGAAGTACAACTCCGAGAGACTTGTGTCTTAGAAATTCTCAAACAATACCAGAAGTTCATCAGTTTTGCTCTAAGAGCGGCCCCAACGCAGGCAGAATTTTTATTGTGTATCGACAAGCTTATGGTTTTCGAATTGACAGATTCGCAATCGAAATTAAAACAAATATCCAGTGAAGATTTAGGGTATTTTACCTTTAGTGCTATAATTACTTTAGCGGGACATTTACATCACATATTTTTGCAATACACCGCTAGTGTATTTTCAATAATGTTAGTGATTCTATCGAGCCTTTTTGTTCATTTGTGCAAATAAAAAAACCGTGTCATTGCGGAAGGTGAGTGGCATACCACCTAGTTAGAATGTCGACTCCTAACATTTTTACGATTTCTTTATGTTCTCGATGTGTATGGATATCTCGTATTTTTGGCATAGTATGGCAACACCGCGATTGATTTCGACGTGATCCGACTCTGGTCGTTTAGCACCAGTATATACCATAAGAGATGTGCTGTGTTGTGAAAGACATAAGATTTATTCAATTTGAAGGAAAACCCACAGCCCTGGAAGCCTCAGAATATCTATGTTCCACAACCCAGTAGTAGTCCAGTCGTCAAATATTTGATCTCTAAAAACGAGACGAACAAGCTGAATTTTTCTGAGAATGTCAATTTTGGGACCTCAAAACAGATGCAAAAAAGTTTGACATTCCTACCTCGGGCTTCCTCCTAACCCTCCTCGTTGAATGACAGTTTGCTTCGGTGCGCGTGAATGTGTCTTAGGTCCTCTTTTGTTTATTATTTATGTTAACTATTTGCCTAAATTCATATCTCATTATAAATCCATACAATTCGCAGATGATACTCCATACGTTATATCAGGAAAAAACAAACACACTAAAACTTAACTCTGATAAAACGCAAAATTTGATTATATCCGTAAGTAATTTACACAATGATCGAGATAAAGAGACTGATAAACTATTGGGAATACCCATATACAAGGTGGTCCAGAATTATGTACATTAATTTCTAGAGCTCATAGTACTTCCAAAAATAGGGTACTTCTTTAGGTACACTTTTTTTATAAAACTGAATAATAAGGGAGATACAACCCTTTAAAGGGGTGAATTGAAATACTTATTTTTTCAAATATCTTCCAAACGGTTTTAAATACAGAGTTCATATTTGGGGAGTGATTATAAGACATTAGGATAATTAATTTCATGTCACCACTTACCACATCCTATATTATTACAGGGTAGTTTTGGAGGGTAAGTGGGGGTTATTGCGTCACATGTTTTTTAATTTTTACATATTTTAAAACAATATTTTAAAAATTATTTTCTTGGACTTTTTTACGCAAAAAATGTGCTCTTGGAATATTTCGATAGATATCACCGTTTTCGATTTATTTAAACTCGAAGGTATACATGTATTTTATTGTAACCGTTACATTTCTTAATATTCATCAAGTATGCTTTGGAATTGACATTTGTGTTAGCAATAATATTACAAATTAGTGGAAAACTTAATTAATACTTAACATTTAATTAATGGCAAAAATAATATTTCACAACAACTGTTCAAAATGTCCTCCATTTTGTTGAATACATAATCTAATTCTTTTATTTAGCGAACGCATTAATCCATTTAATGTTACTGGATCGTTTTCTAAATCGGCAAATACTTGTTCAATTTTGTCTCTTAACAAATTTACTGTATTAATTGGAGTGTTATACACTTTTGATTTAAAATAACTCCATATTGTAAAGTCCATTGGATTAAGATTACAACTACGAGCAGGTCAATGAATCGGTGCATCCGCACCCCGGCCTATACACCTATCAGGGAAATGTTCATGTAACCACCTTCTACAAATTCTTGTGTAATGTGGTGTAGCACCATTATGCATGAAAAACATGTTTCTTCGTATTTGTAATGGAATATCTTCCAAAATATCATGTAAAATATTGTCTAGAAAGTGTGCCAGAATTTGAATAGTGTGCCATATTGCGGGAAAACAAATTTAAAAATATAGCAAAAGAGACGTGTTAAACAAATTTCACTGTCGAGTACAATAAAAGTGTAGATAAAATAATTTATTTGTTATTAAACTTCGCTGACAATTCATAGACTACTTGAGATTAAAGTGTTGTTGCTAACACAAGTGTCAATTTCAAAGCATACTTGATGAATATTAAGAAATGTAACGATTACAATAAAATACATGTATACCTTCGAGTTTAAATAAATCGAAAACGGTGATATCTATCGAAATATTACAAGAGCACCTTTTTTGTGTAGAAAAGTCTAAGGAAACAATTTTTAAAATAATTTTTTAAAATATGTAAAAATTAAAAAACATGTGACGCAATAACCCCCACTTACCCTCCAAAACTACCCTGTATTAATATAGGATGTGGTGGGTGGTGACATGAAATTAATTATCCTAATGTCTTATAATCACTCCCAAAATATGAACTCCGTATTCAAAACCGTCTGGAAGATATTTAAAAAAATAAGAATTTCAATTCACCCCTTTAAAGGGTTGTATCTCCTTTATTATTCAGTTTTATAAAAAAGTGTACATAAAGAAGTACCCTTATTTTTGGACGTACTATGAGCTCTACAAATTAATGTACATAATTCTGGACCACCTTGTATAATCGACTGAACTAGTCGGCTCATGTCTCACAACTAAAGAAAAAGCTATCAAGTTTATTATTTGTTATTCGTCAACTAGCAAGGGTTGTCAACTTTGAAACATTAAAAATTACATATTTTTTTTATTTCACTCGTCACCTAAACTATGGTGTAATCATATGGGGCAATTCAACAAATGCAGTTCAAATTTTTAGAATTCAAAAGAAAGCCATCAGGAGTTTAGCAGAGGTTATTTATCTAGAACACTGCCGACATTTCTTTCTCAGATTTAAAATTATACTTTATAATTATAACCAGAATAGGGAACAATCAGTCAGAACAAAGCGTGGATGAAGCCTGGACAGATATTAAAGAAATCATCGTAACAACAGTGAACCAATGTCGCCAACCATCTATAAATAATAGCATTAGACCATGGATCAGCAGAAACACGTGGAAAGTGATTGAACAAAGAAAGCAACTTAAAGTTGGCCCCTGTGATCAACAGACATATAAAGCTCTCTCCAGAGATATTCAACGAAGATGCCGAAAAGACAAACAAGAATACATCTCTGAAATCTACCAAGAAATAGAAAATCACGGATATCGAAATGAAACCAAAGACCTCGTCCGGAAAGTGCAAATTCTTGCGAGAGAATTTAAACCCAAGAACTATGCAATAGAGGACAAACATGGTATTATCATAAGTCATATTGTCAGAGTGTTGGAAACATGGAAAAAACTATTGTTCAGAGTTCTACAGGGAAGAACACGTAAATCTAGGCCACACTTCAGCCCTCGAAAACACTGAATACAACCCTGAACCTGAAATTCTGCTGTCTGAGATTGAAGAAGCTGTAACTCACCTCAAGAAGAATAAATCCCCTGGCTGCGATGATATCACGGGAGAGCTCCTTCAGAACATGGGAGACAAAGGATGTTACATAATGTGGAAACTTTGTATGTAATAAAATTTGGAGATGCGGAAAGTGGCCCAGAGAATGGCGCACATCATTGTGCATACCAATCCATAAAAAAGGAACAACTACAAAGTGTAGTAATTATCGTACCATCTCACTGATTTCCCATCCAAGCAAAATATTACTAAGAATCATTAAACGCCGTTTGCAACAGTACTTAGACAACCAAATTCCCCAAGAACAAGCAGGCTTTGTCAAAGGGAAGGGTACGAGAGTATCCAGTAATAATCTGTTTTCTAGACTACCAAAAGGCATTTGATTGTGTAAAGTGGGAAGTTCTCTGGACAGTTCTTCATGAGATGGGAGTTCCAGATCATTTGGCAGCATTAATTAAAAACTTTTACGAAGATAACTCAGTTAAAATAAGAATTGAAACCAGCAATCTGATACCTTCAAAACCAGCAGAGGTGTACGACAAGGCTGCATACTATCTCCAGACCTGTTCAATTTATATGGAGAATACATAATGAGGAACGCACTCGATGGATGGAGAGGCGGCATCTCCATTGCAGGGAAAAAGATCTCAAACTTAAGATTCGCAGACGATACAACACTGATAGCAACATCTGAAGAGGAGATGTCGAGACTGATAAAGAGAGTAGAAACCGAAAGCAACAAGTGTGGGCTCAAGATTAATAATCAGAAAACAAAAATCATGATTGTGGACCACGCGAATATCCTCCAAACAACAGGCGCCCTAAATCAATTCGAGAAAGTAGACGAGTTAACGTATCTAGGATCTTCCTTAAGCAATGCAGCCTCCTGCCATACGGAAATTCGCAGAAGAATAGGAATGGCCAAGAACGCGATGAGTCGACTGTCAAAAATATGGAAGGACCGCTCTTTGTCCAAAAAAACTCAAAATGAGACTGGTACGGACACTCGTTTTTTCAATCTTTAGTTACGGTGCCGAAACATGGACAATAAAATCAGAGGATAGGAAAAAGATTGACGCATTCGAAATGTGGTGCTGGAGACGAATGCTACGCGTCTCGTGGACGGAGCACAGATCCAATCAGTCGATTCTCGAAGAGCTAAACATTCAGACCAGACTCTCCTCTCAGTGTCTTGCAAATGTTTTAAAAGTTTTTTGGCCACATTGCGAGAAGAGACAATGACAACTTAGAAAGACTAATTGTGTGCGGAAACGTAGAAGGACGTAGAGGCCGAGGACGCTCACCTATCCTATGGTCAGATCAAATACAGAAAGCCACTGGAGAGACGTTTTCCGAGTCCATGAGAGCAGCCCAAAATCGCAAGAGATGGAGAGAATTGACAGCCCGCATTGTAGGGAATCACGATCCTCAGCAATGAGGAAACGACAAGAGAGAGAGACCTACTCTGTTAATATTTCACAGAAAACGGACTCAATTAATAAAACAGTCTAATGTCCATGTTCACAATTTACGCGAAATTGTCACTACCCACGAACAAATCGCTGTAGAGTACGTCTTTTAGATAAAATTTTTCTTAATTAAAACTATTACAATATTTTACTAAAAACTATTAAACAGCTAAGCTGTAATAGTTTCGAAAAAGTTATAAAAAAATATCTTCTGAAAAATTGTTTTTACTAATCAGAAGAATATATGACTCATTGCAAACCATCCACTGAACTGGTTACCGTAACTTTGCCATAAATATTTTTCTCTTTAATATGTGTTCTTGTTTGTGATGTATTTAGGTTATGTTTTATATTCCTTTTTGATATACTATGTATTTTTTTTTACTTGCTACAAACAGTATTTGTATTTATTATGTAGTTAAATAAATAAACTCTAAACTCATTACAGATTTTTATAAACTATAATAAAAAGTGGTATTTTTAGAATATGTTCTCTTTGTAGACTTCACGGCATTTTGCCATGGCCACAAATGACACCAAGTTATGAAACAATTGAGGAGGATCCTCGAATTGTAGAAGACCATCATCCATTCATGACGACTTCGATGTCAAAGGAAAAAGAAGATATGGTTCTACCAGTATTTGGCTTTCAAAATAATCTATACATACGGGAAGATTTCCAAAACGTGCCACAGGAATTCAAATCAACTCCCAGAGACGATTTATGGAGTGAAGACGTCGAGTTTGTATTGAAAACTCTTCGACTAAGTATTAGTAGTGAGAAAGGAATTGATACAGACCCATCAGGCAGTGGAGTACCAAGTGAGATGTTAAAAAAGTAAGTATTAATGTATAGGTACACTAAGTAAATACGAGCCCTAATAACTATATGTTGGAATAACCAGTAGTTTGGCGAAAAAAATGCTAATTTACTGAATTTTATTTAATTTTTTTTTTAAATTGGAAATATGATATGCCTAAAACTTGTATATGATATGATATTTACGCAGTATATAAGGTAATATTTTTCTTTATATACTTTCCCGTTAAAACAAAATATTTATGCAAATTAATAAAAAAAAATGCTGTACAAAATATGGTACATCAGGTATACAAGCCCCTTCCCATAGCAGTTGGCCCACCTATGGAATTTGCAGTTTAAGTCGATTACCATAAGCAAATTATACTCTGCATAAGTTCCGATATTAATTAATATGGTAGTTTTATTAATATTTATTAAAAACATTACCCTTATGGTTTTTTATTTTCAACAATAAAAAAAATTCACTAAACCCTGGCTATGCATTCACTTGTGCTATGAAAAAATGACATCAAAAGAATAATATTGTCAGTTAACCCTTTGTGTATTGGTGGGCTAAGCGTTGAAACAAATTTTAAACAATTTTTATGCTGTAGCTTGGTGTTCCTTGCGCTTAGACACGTGGATTGTCGAGATCCTCTCCAACGACTCCCACATCAAATTTTGTTTCGCTGATCGTTGGTAAGTGGTATGTTTACAGTGGCCTAGCACGTGGTTAATGGTGCTGTACTATTTGAGTTTTTCAAGATTTTTAATAAAATGGCCAGTAAGTTTTTCTAAAAATATATTGTATAGGTAACCTATATTTGTTTGTATTTGTTTGGAAATGTTCATTGATGAATTTAGTACATTTTACACCTAGTAATTATGGTGGTGGCAGTGCTGGGACACAAGGCAAATACATGCTTTTTTTCCATGCAAAAATAAACATTCTTATGCCGATGTGGAACGTATGTCTCAATAGGAAATCTTTACTCTTATTGAAGACCTTCCATCTGATGTAGATTCAAATATTGATGATAGCTCCGATGACGATGAGGAAACAGATTTAACAACAAAAATATGAATCAAAGAATTTTTGATGTAGTCTTGCCGATTATCTTTGAAGGCCGTTTCAGTGGAAAACCAACTTGAGGACGTCTTAGAGACAAATCAAATTAAAGCAGATAAGAGTGACCATTGGATATACGTAGAAGGAAATATTTTCTTTCAAATACAATTTGGACTAGAGACTTCCCCAAAATTGCATTCCCGATAAAACATTTTAGTAAACCAATCGGCTCCAATATACCAGACAATATTGATTCTCCTACGGATGTATTTCTTCAACTCTTTACAAAGGACCTTATTGATAATATTATCTTTCAAACCAATCTATATGCGGTCCAAAATAGCGACGGTGACGAGAATAGATTTACACAAACCAATGCAGAACAAATGCGGGTATTCTTAGCAATGAATTTACTAATGGGAATAAGGGGACTTCCTAGTCTGAGAGACTACTGGGCTTCCAGAGCGGATCTTCGAGATGTGTATATTAGTTCTTGTATGTCAAGAGATCGGTTTGTATGGTTGCTCAAAAAATTACATTTAAACAATTTTCTTAAACCTAAAAGACATGAGGCCAACTATGACAAACTATATAAACTACGCCTTTAATGAATCGTCTATTAGAATCATTTTTTGTTTGTTATAATCCCTCAGAGAGGGATTGTGACAAGCAATAAATGTGTCAATGGTAAAATTTAAAAGACGTAGTTCCTTACGTCAATATTTACCAATGAAGCCAGTAAAAAGAGGCTACAGGGTCTGGATCAGGGCCGACGAATCCGGATTTGTATGCCAGTTCGATTTTTATACAGGAAAAGTTGCTGATACGACAGAAAAAGAATTAGGAGCTAGAGTCGTAAAAGATTTGGAAAAGATTTCGTGTGTGGAACAGCAAGAAATGAAAGACAGAACACACCAATGGATATAATAGCGGACAATCAATTAGCAAGAGGGGAGTCGGATTGGCGAGTTAGCAAAGGTGGTACAGTTTTTATGAAATGGAAAGACCGAAAGGATGTTTTGTGTAAGTAATTATCATAATCCCGAATATATTGGAAAAGTGTCTAGAAAGAGAAAAGATGGTACTATGGAGGACATTGTTTGTCCAATACTAGTCAAGGACTATAAGCTAACATAAGTTTTGTTGACAAAATGGATATGCTAAAGTCAATTTATGAAGTTGACAGAAAATCGAAGAAATGGTGGCACCGTATCTTTTGGTATTTTTTGAACGTGTCTTTTGTAAGCGCCTTTATTATTTTAAAAAGTAGATCCGATGGACAATAGCTTACGTTGAAGATGTTTAGGTTAGCAGTCATAAACGGACTTATTGGCGCCCAACCTGACGAACGAGTAAGATGACGCAAAAGAGCTAATGACACTGAAGTAAACCACTTCAAGCGCACGGTACCCTTAGAAGTCCGATTTGATAAATGTGCACATATGCCAATTCACATAAACCAAGGAGATGTGCCCTTTGCAGCACTCCAAAAGACCACACAAGTATTTCTGGAGCTGTTCAACATGTAATGTAGGACATTGTCTTAACGACAAAAAAAATTGTTTCTCTTTATACCATTCAAAATAAAGTTCTACTTTTGAAAATATTTTATTAATCGACGCCTTGTGACCTAATACCTATGACATGGTCTACAGACTTTGTTGGCTGATAAAAAAATAAAAAATACAATAGATTGTTATTAAAAATGATTTTATATAGAAAAAATGACTCCCCGGAAGGTCTTCAAAGATCTCCGTCTCTGGTCATTTTTTTTAACGTTTTCGTAGGTCTTCTGCATATTCCTGTAATGTAATCGATCCATCTTCTTGGGGATCTTCTTCGTAATCTTCAGCCTTCTACATTTCCTTAGATAATAAGTATTTTCATGTTTTCTGCGTCTACTCTCATAACATGTCCAAAGTATTTTAATTGTTGGAGATGGTCTTTGCTGGATAGCTGTTTGCTGACTTTAAGCTCAATTAGAATTGAATTATTTGCCCTGTGGTCGGTTCACGGAATTCGTAACATTCTTTTCCAACAGAACGTTTCAGTGGCTTCTATCTTTCTTCTTTCCATTGACGAACATGAGGTGAAAAGAAGAACTCATCTCCGTTACTTATTTTTTGGTGTCAACTTCTATTGGGACGATTGGACTTTGGTCTTCAATACTTAACTGTAAACTCACATGCATCGTATCAAAGAATATTCATATTAGTAATTTCAAGAAATTTTTACTTAACCTAAACTCGGTGTTGTTTTTGTTCCTCTCAGTTACTAAGCAAACTTTGCACTTACATATATTTAGTTTTTGTGTTAAAACTTCTCGACAATTCAAAAATTCTACAATCATTTCTCTTAGACATACTCAATTTAAAATCATGCGTAGTACTAGAAAATTATTTGTTTGGGTTGTACCAGAAACCTATCACATGATATGGTGACATAATACATTTAAATGTTTTTTTATGTAGCTTCTCAATTCCGAAGAAGTCGCTGAATATGAATTTACTGTGTGCAGTGGCAGTGTTTTACCGTGATATATATTTTTTAGAGGTTCGAAAGGAGCCGATCGAAGTTCAACAATACAGTTTAAAGACAGAGAAACTTCAAATGAAAAATTAATCCAGGTGCCTTCAGTAGATGATGTTTCAAGGGTAATATCCGTTGAAGAATGTGAATCTTTAAAGGACAGAATAGATACGAAAAGTTCTCTTAAATATACAACGGTAAATAAAGACTTTCCCTCATTGCTATTATTTTCTATTACTAAATAAACTATTTTAATGGTTCGACCTCTATAGTCGTTCTCAATTTTACGACCAAGTTAATTCCGTTTATTCAGTATTTGCTATTTTTAGCCAATTATAAACCCTATAGATCATTCCCAGGTAGGAAGGGTTGAAACAAATCCACTATTATTAGGGACACAAAGTTCCCTGGAGGTATTTGCTAAGAAATACAACATCCAACTTAAACAATCTGATTATTGTGCTACTATTCCTGAAACGAGTAAGTGTATGCTACTGATATATTTATAATATTTTAAAGTAGAAGCAGTACTCTTTTAACTATTTGTTTCAGAAGAAGAAGAGGAAGAGGCAGAAGATCCAGAAACAATAGAACAGTTTCACCGTTTCAGCGAGAAAAGCAGAGATACTTCTGTATATATCAAAAGCGTGGAGTCATTCAGGCCTACGAAAGGAAGTTTAACACCACAGAGAACTAGCAATGAAGCTAAAGATAAAATTGGTAAACGATTTGACTTTTTCCATATTGTGTAGTGTTTAATTTACTTTTATAGTATATTTTTCATTGACAATTCTGCAGTTTCTTTTTCATCGAAAGATATGTACTGTAGGTTGTACAGTTCTTCAGTGTATTCTTTCAAACGCTTTAGTTTTTCCACTGTAGGTTGAACAGCTCTTCAATGTATTCTTTCCCTTGCTTTAGTTTTTCCGCAGTTTTCTTTCTTACTCCTACTTTTTTGTTCATAATATTTCCAGTTGTATCAAATACATACATATAAATATAAATACATATTTTATAATTTCAACACAGCTCTACCCACCACAATAAGCGGAAAAATTCCTGTAGAAACCAGAGATTCGTTTATTTTACGTCAGACGTACTTGGCTAAAGTGCAACCAAGGTTTTCGGTATCTCCAAATGACTCTATTGAGATTAAAAAGGACTCGCCCAGAAACACACTAACCAAAAAGAAATCGTCCAAACTGTCACTGGCCAGAGACTCTGTGGAAATGCTGAGGGAAAGCAGGTAATTGGTTTTTTGAGAGTTACTTCGAAGATATATTTTATAGTGTATTTTTATGTATGAGAGAGTAATAAAACAATAAATTATGTATGCAAATCCCTAAACTGTTGATACGGGTGACTCAATGAAAAACAGATATTTGTCAACAAGTTTACAGAAGTATATAGGACAACAATTTTAAATTGAGTATGACCACCAGGTATAAAGGTTGGAGCAGAATAGAATACAATAGTTGTGAGGGTTACTAATCCCCAAATAAGGTTGCCAGTGTCGGAGTGATGGAGGTTAACATTTACTAATGAATTTGCAAGAAATTTAAGATGTTTATTTTATTGGTTATATATAACCAATAAAAGTTTAATAAGTACCTACCTATTTGCAAAATAAAGTTTAATTCTTTAGATAAAATAAAACGTTTTATTTTATCTGAAATTAGTGCATTCCACGAAGTAAGGGTTTCAACAATCAAACATTTAATTCTTTAATTCCAGGAATCTACGACAGTAATTGACTAGATAATTACCTTCTAAACTTATTCCACAGAAAATGTGATAGTGGGTTTTTCCATTTTGTAGGAAGGTCCAAGTGGCGTATTCAAAATTCTTAACAGTTCACTAAAAGTAGGTACTTCAGTTGCAAGGTGCAGTTTATTGTGTATACTAGTGTTATGGAAAATTTGGAAGTGCCGTGTAAACGCCGAAAAATTTAATGAAAAAACATTAATATTTAATTGTTTTAAATCATTTACAGACAAACGTTTATGTGAAAGTGTTGATGAGACCGTTGAGTTAGTTAGCAGTACACTTGGTGTTGGGAAATCTACGATTTACAGAGTTATTAAAGAAGAGAAATGTGGTAGTTTTCAAATGCCACGTAATGCTCCAGGGAAACCAAAATTTCAAATAGAATATCATTTTAAAGAAGGACTTCGACGGAAAGTGCATGAATTCTTCTTTAGACAAGAATTTCCAACATTGGATAAAGTTCTTGTCTCAGTTCGAGATGATAAGGATTACCCAGAAATGAGTCGAAGTACGTTATGGAAACTTTTAAAAGAAATAGGCTTCCGCTGGAAAAAGAATCCCAGAAATTCTATTTTATTAGAAAGAAGCGATATTGTCATATGGAGAAGACATTTTCTAAGAACCATAAAGGAAATGAGAAACCAAAAAAGAAAAATATTTGATCTTGATGAAACATGGATCAACGAGGGTCATACACCAAATAAATTTTGGCAGGATGAAACTGTTACAAGTCAAAGGCACGCTTTTGTAAATAACTTATCTACTGGTTTAAACCCACCATCAGGAAAGGGACGCAGGCTGATAATAGTACACATTGGCAGTTCAGACGGTTTTGTTGAAGGTGGTTTATTAACTTTTGAATCAACTCGTACCGGTGACTACCATGAAGACATGAACGCTGATGTCTTTCAAGAATGGTTCGAACAAATGATAGATCTTCCTAAGAACTGTGTAATAGTAATGGATAATGCAAGTTATCACTCCAGACTTATAGAAGGACTGCCCACAACCAAGTGGTTAAAAAAAGACTTGCAGTATTGGCTGAGTTCAAAAAATATTACGTACCATCCCGGATCTATAAGAAAGGAACTTTATTCGTTGTGTGCCCTTCATAAAGAAAAATTTAAAAAATTTGATGAAATTGCCAAAAATCGTGGAATGACAGTACTTAGATCCCCACCATATCATTGTGAATTAAACCCGATTGAACTGGTATGGGCACAGATAAAGAGTGAAGTTTCAAGAAAAAATACCACTTTTAAAATTCATGATGTTAAACAGTTGTTTTTGGAGGCCGTAAATAATGTAAAACCTGAAAACTGGGAAAAGGCAGTAAATCACACTATTAAAGAAGAGGAAAAAATGTGGAAGCTGGACAATATTACTGATAAAATGATCGAGCCAGTTATTATAAATCTTGGTTCTGAAAGTTCATCTTCTGAATCTGATTTGGATTTGTAACAAGTAGCTGTAAGTTTTATATTAATATTTTTATTCACCTATTTAACATACCTTAGACGGTTTTAAAAACTTTTTTTCTCTTTTGTAATTTCTAAAAATTAAAAAAAAAAATGTGAATTTTTTAAAACCCTTTTTAATGTAGGCCAGTCAGTTCTAATATAGTGTGTGATAAAAGAGGTCACTTTTGTTTACATACACATAACACTGAAATAATTCATTTATTTTTTACAATTATTCAAAGTAATTTTTCAATTAATCTTGAGCACGCCCATGGAGTGGTCGAAGATACCAGTTAAAATTATGCTAATTACTCTCTCGTTCATAAAAATAAACTATAGTGTTAAGATCTTTCAGTTAATTATCCAAAAAAAATTAGCATATGCCATCAAGTTCCATAAGTTTAAAACTTAAAGAAATAAATTTTAAACTTACCATCTACTTTATTGAACCTATGACGACCGGTTTCTACAACTAAAATTTTCTGGTTATTTTCAGGTCTCTTCTGGATGTTATTTGGAAAATAATTACAATTTTTATTTTGTAAACAGTGGTATTTTTCAAAAGAAAAAATAATTTCATTTGTAAATGTTGTAATAAATACTCATATCAATATTTCCTCACCTTTACAAATTATTTTAACAATTTTAAATCGTAATAAATTTGTTTTTTTTTTAAGAACTCTTTTAAATCAACCCACTATCTGTGCTACGTGTCGTAAAAAAGAAGCGAAAGAAAAAGAAATTGTAGGTCGAAAATGTGATAACTGTTGTAAAAGTAAAGATAGTATAGAAGTTCTTAGCGGAGGCGTTATACCAAAGATTATTAAAATGGACGACAAAGAAAATGTTGCATCAAAGATCAAGTAAAGTATACTTAACATTTCTATTTATTATCATCACGATGCTGCAGTCTTTAAAGGACATCGACCTTTTCAAACTTTCTGCGCCATTCTGCTCTGTTCCTTACTTGCTCTTCTCAGCTTCCACCGCCTATCCACCTCAGCTTAGGCCTGCCATGTCTTCCTATTCCCAATGCCTGCTGTGTTGGAATCTTTTATATGTGGATCAAGTGAAGTTCTTTAGATGTTAAGCCATAGAATAATTTAGCAAGCGTTAACACATACTTTTTTCATTCTTTTCCTACTTCATCTGAAAATACAGCTGTGCGACGTAAACTGGGCGGCGTGTGCTGTAAACCTGTTGATCTTTTTTTTTTAAGTCGATTTGGGAATTTTGAAAGCTCTTCCCGTTTCTCTTCGTTGGTATATGTAAGAATCTTAGATTATCTAACGTAGTTTCGTGGCATCTGAAGATAAAAATGGTAATTTTAATATTTACCATTATATAGTTTGCAGGGGAATCGTGCGCACTCTTGCGCACGATTACCCATTTACACCTTAAATAGCAATCGTCATGACAATTTTCAATAATCGGATCTCACTTAATCTATGTTCAACAGTCGACTGAAGATAATGACATCAACCGTTCACGAGATCGGCCGAAGGGTGTAGAATTGGTTGGGTTCGTAAAATCTGCCACGGAATTTAGCGTACGATTACCCGTCGCACACCATTCCCTCATTTCCCGTAGCCCTGTATCAATACCATTAATATTAAAATAAAATTTTTTGTCTATTTAATATAAATATTAAATTTCTTATGTTTAGAGTGTCTCACATAGAAATGATTCCTGTAGAAGAGAAAGTTACACACGAAGTTCCTTTTAAAAGTAAACCTAGTGCGGTCGGCGATGATAGTTATGAAAAATTAAGCGCTTTATATAAGCCACAAGGCAAGCGTAAAAGCAAAGGTAATAACTTTCTAATTATTTTATCTTTTTCTTTATTAGTTTAGATGTAAGAAATAACAAATAAGACCTGGTGTGCTAGTAAATCAGATTTAACAATAGTCTACACATACTCAGTTAGAAATGATCTTATGATTTCATAATCATAGAAAAGTAAGACAGTAACAAAACGCAACTAATTCTGATAGAAGAAAAATCAATGATCCAGAGTTATCCTGGAGGAAGACGAGGGTAGCCTCAGTAACGCTTTACTTGATGTAAAAAACAGGTTAGGCGTTGAAGAAAAATAGGTAAAATAGTCCAGGTCACGAGAACTATAAAGAAATACTAACATCAAAGGTAGACAAGAAGCCGTGGATGACTGATGAGATCTTTAAATTAATATAAAAAAAATAAGACCATAATAGATAGTGATGTCAACAAATACAGGCCCTTCGACAACCTAATTGCGAAAAAATTCAGAGACACAATAAAAAAAGAACTCAAAGACAAAGCCCATTTTTCTATTACATTTTTAATACCTGGTTGAATTCAACGGATTTAATATTTTGTTTTTTAAATGATGAATTGATTGCGTAAGATGAATAGATAAAGTTCATGTTCAAATATTACATTTGGAACCTGAAAATTTTTTATGGGTATCTTAAGTTATAAGTAATATGTGGAAATGGCAAGAGTTGATTAAAAAAATTTGTTGTTAAATGAGTTTTAACAGATTATTGAAGATTGACATAAATGATGGGTATAAGGTGAATCTATTTGGTTAGAGTTGTGATTTGTGGTGTTTTACTGTTGTTGTGATAGGGAAATTGACTGAACAAGAAGTTACTAAAGAGTTATGATTGATAAGAGGAGATTCATATGTGTGGATTGACTGTAGAAAAACCAAGAAATTATCTGGATATGTGAATATGAAGGGATGTATGGATACGAGTGAGGGATTGAATTATTGTGTGATTGTGAATGGTTTATAGAATAGTCTGATCTGAATTTAGTTATGTCGCAAAGAAGCCTGAAGAACATTAGGCATAGGGGTCAGACGTGAAGTTTAGAATACCAGAAAGAAGTGGGGAATGATGGAAAAGTTAGATGCATTGAAAGAGAGGTTTGAAGTGGGCTGAGAAAGATGAATAAATGACAAAATGAGAATGACATGTAAATTTTAATGTAGCAGTAGAAATTGAGGATGTAGGTCGAGAAAATTTGGCGATGGAGGGGAAGGAAGTATTGATTGAATGACACATGGCGATTAACACAATTTGGACTTCTCTGCTATTCTCTGATAATTTCAAGATCTTCATATAAGTCTAGTTTTAGGAAGTTTTTTTTTGGGGGGCAATATTGTGAATAAATGATACATCTTCTGGGATATTGAGGGTGTGATTATGTTCTTTTAGATATTGAGAGAAAGTGGAAACGTTTTCTCTTTTTTGTGCTCTAAAGAGCGTGAAGACAGTGATCTCCAAGTTCTTCTTATGTAGGTGGCACCACAATCTGAACATTTTAGTTTATAAATACCACTACGGTTCATATCATTGATGACATAATTTTTTTTTTTAGTTAACAAGAAGAGAAAATTTGAAGATAAATGCAAAAAGTTGAAATTATCGCCAAAGGCAAGAATTGCTGGGGACCTTAAAGGTATAGAGCATTTACAAACGGTAGAGGAATTTACAGCAGACAGAATGAAGTCTTTTATAACAATCTTAAGTAATCATCCACATCTTATTAAAATGTTTACAGCTTGTCAACGGTAAAAATAAAAATATATTATATGACAAAATGATTTATTATTTTATAGTCCTTTTATTAAAAGTGTTGTCCCTTTGGGAGTTAGTACTCATCTTAGTTATTACTATTGTAATGTGCTTGATAACTATTTTTTATAGTCATTATACCATATATGACCAATCCCAAGGTTTCCAAAAAAAAAAATGATTTATTCAAAATTAATAGGATTTTTGAGATTTAGCTGCAAAAGCATATACTACAGAAAAGTTTGCAACAAGAAACAAGTGTATTTCAATGGTGTTAAATTTATTATAGTCCAGGAAATCACCAGGAACGCAGACATAATATGAGTCTTCTATGCAGTGAAAATAAATCCACCTCGGTTTAAGATCTTAACTAATTATCTTTCAACCACTTAAAAACCTACCTTCCCTTCCACACAAGAATCCACCATATACTAACATCTATAAAAGACCCACAAATATGTATATCTATCTAAGCATTTAGATTATAATGCATCTTTTCCCTTTGCCTCAACAAAAGGTGAATATATTTTATCTACACAGTGAACCAACAATTGGCTTTCTGATTGTTGAGGTCATGTCTCCAGTTAATATGATGGCTTTTAAAGTCAATTCAGTATATTCTTTGGTGAATATATTCACTAAACCTTATTTGTACCAATTAGGAGTGATTCTTCTGAACTCTGGCCCTCATCTAAGCTGGCTTTTTGGTCTCATTTTCATCTTGGGGATGACTTTCCAACTGTTGGCTGTTTTGCTTCAGAATGCACATTGTGATAACAAAAGGCTGATTTCAGTCCATTATAGAAATAGAGGTAATGTATTCCTTGGTGTCCTTTGATACAATATGAACATATTGTGTTTTTCTATGCAGTCAAACAACAATTCCCATTCTTATTGGTGGTTGTATTTCCAGTCAATACATTGTCTGTTAAGTCAATGAAGTATATTCTTTGGTGAGGAAGAATCAATACTTTTTCAGGATCATTTAACTTTATCTCCTCAAGAAGAATAATTTTATTGTAAATAGTTTACACATATTATGCACTAAAAGGTGAGTGTTAACTTTTTAATTTTCTGGGTTGAAAAAAAAAAATAACGAATTTTTCTCTAGTTATTAATTTTTTAATTTGAAATTTTGTCAAATCATTTTTTTTTCAGCTTCAAATTATCCAGGTTCCCCATGGATTCTTTTTTTACTCAACTAAACAAGGCAAAAAAAAAAACAAAAAAAAACTTTATTTTCTTCAAATACACATTATATAAACTTTATCTATTGACTATTACTTTTTGTTTCTGTTTTTGTTGAAAGTTGGGCTTGGACCTCAGATAGTGCTTCACTAGCTCTTTTAAATTCATTAATTTTATCTTTAACATACTGCTCTGCTGAAAATGTCTCTGCTTCTTTACACTGCTGTATCAGTTCTGCCTGGAAAGCCTTCTCTTTCTTTAATTCTCTTCGTTGCCTTTTCTAGAAAGTTAAATAAAAGTATAAACTCAAGAAAAACATCTTAAAGGTTGATTGCAAACATTATATCTTTATTTCTTATATAAATTAATTATTGTCCATAATTCCATGAGAAAATATATTCCTAAACGAAAAATAATGCACCAGTAATATTTTTTAACAAGATCTGGAGAAAATAAAAGCTTATCAATTGTTTTACAATTAAGTTTTGAAGACCTTTTGGCACTTAAAGTAAACAGTTATTTTACTTTTAATAATTGTAAAAGTATTTAAAATAATTACATACAGACTACAAAATATAAATGACATTACTGAACTTATAAAACTGTGTGAACTTATAAAATTATGAAACTTGTGATATGTATTATGAAAGAGTAAATGATTATCTCAGCTATAGAAATAATGAATAATTTTAGTATTCATCAAGTATAAATAACTATTTGAACTTACTTTTGCCCATTCAAACTTCATTCGTTTTCTCAACTTTTTCAGTTTATGTTTTTTCATCTTTTTCCTTCTGATTACAATCATTTTCACCGCTTCTTTCTTGATACTATCATCAAATGCGGGTGCCTCAATTACGTCCTGTTTATTTGGTTCTATTGCAGGTATGATTGTTTTTATAGTATTTGGGAGATCTATCTTTAAATTTGGACATCGTGGAAGATTTAAATTATCGTTTTGACGATATATCCAAGGATTTTGTATATGATTGTTTGATGTTTCTAATAATGGGATAAATTTTGTAGCAGTAGATGCTTTTCCTATGCGTAAATTAGACAGTTCTCTAATGGGTATTTGAACTAAAAAAACCATAATTTATATAGATATATGTGTATGAATTAAATTCTTTTTACCTTTACTTGTGCATATTTTAGGTATCCTTAAAAATCTGAGTAACATCTTTTCTATTTTAAATTTAATTCTATAAGATTAATTTAATTTGTAAGGTAAAGGTTATGTTTAGTCTTTTTTCTTCTTCTTTTTTAGTCTTTCTTCTTCTGTTTTAGTCTCTCTTCTTCTGTTTTAGTCTTTCTTCTTCTGTTTTAGTTTTTCGTCAGTTTTGGCTTTCATCCAAGACTTAGAACTATGTATACCATGGTATTTGTATTGATCTACGAATACATTTTATAAACGATGATTTTGATTGGAACAAAAGACACCTCATTCTATCGCCAACTTATTTAATGTACAATTAAGAAAATGAAAAACAGAATATCGCGAGGAACTAATGGTATCGACACAGAATTAATAACAATCATAATGCCCACTCTCAGATGCCGCCTTTGAGGTGTGTCAGCACGCTAATTGAGAAATTTGTGACAAGCTACGACAGAACTGTAATTTAAATTTTTAGAGATTAATATTTTATTAAATTTAAAATAATGTAATCTATTCTTAAACTAAAAGTAGGAATAATTGCCGCAAATAAATTAAACCGGTTAAATTTTTCTATGCACAATAGATATACTCGGTTCGCTATTCCCAGTCCGAACTGTCTAGTGAATTTAGTAATTATTTTTTTGCAAAGTTAGTTGCTTTTTGACAGACTAAAAATGGCTGGAAATTACTATACAACCAAGCACACGTACTCATAGCCAATATTAATAGTAAACAAACTAAATAGTAAATAAAATAGAACTTTGCGAATTACCGACAATCAATATTTATTTATCTGCACCATATAATAAATAGTTATGTTAAATTATAACAACTAAAATATATTTTTTAAATATATACTACCCAAAATTTGATAGGTTTAGTATACACTTCCACTATTTAGAATAATTCTTCTTTTTTCAAAGAAAGAAGTCTGCAATAATAGTTTACTTGAGCTATTAATACTAAGAAGTAGGAATTGTTGTGTTGTAGGTTTCCGACAATGAATCTGTCAAAATATGCCCGAGATAAGCGAATGGAGATTAACAGTTCAGCACTGGTTTCGTTTAAAAACATGGCTGATTCCGTCTGCGTAAACTTATTTTTCAAGCAGAGTGGGCATTCTGATTGTTCTCTGTTTAAAAACAAATTTTGTACAAACTATCGCCAGAGACCTACGAACGCAGAGAAGCGACACTCCATGATACTATGAATAACAAGATAGGATCTTCCTGTAGCTCAAAATCGGTCAGGTTCGCGCATGCCGTCATTGGAGAGTAGAATTTGAAATCTTGTTAAAGTTAAATGGGATTTGTATGCATTCTGTGATGAAATTACTAAACGAAAATAAGTTAAGAGGTTTAATAATTACAATAATCGTACACGTAAGGATATCTCCAAACTATTTATTAAAGATTATTTATTGATATATACAAAAAACTGACATTTCGAACGTGCAACTCTCCAATGACGTCACAAAAACATGCGCAATATCTTATCTTATAGTATCATGCGACACTCCTTTGATCTCGCGTGGACAAGCCGCCAACGAGTGAAAATGACAGGAAAGCAACCAGCTTACTAATAGTCAGTGGGCATATCACACAATATAAATTCTTAAATACAATTCAGCATTTATGTTGACTTTCAATAAATATGAAATATTGCACTGAAAAAATAATTACATGCAGGGCCGGCTTTTGTTGACATTCTAAATGGTGTAATTATTTTTGATTTACAAAAGGTTGCAAATACATCGCACAACGCAAAGTAATGGTGAAAATCGTATTGATGGAACCATAGATGAAAATACTTTTTTGTTTATTCTGATGTTGGCATTGATAATACAATAATACACCGATTCTTTTTGGCTTGTGTTGATACAAGAAATAATTTGTTCGTCGTGGAATTTCCTAATAAATTATCTTTCGTAATATAATAAAAAAATAACAAAGCCATTGTAACTGCCACGGAAATTTCACAAACTCTAAAAATTCCAATTCTCTTTGGGTGAGACTGAGAAACAAGAAACTTTATATTGATATCGATTGTTAATGTCTTGGAAACCTATTAAAATTACATTTTTCCTTTAAAGTCGAATATTGGAGTAAACGATATTCGACTAAAACGAATAAAAAAATCAAGAAGTAACTATTGTACGAGTATATTTGTGTTCGTAGTTCTCTGCTATCGCTTGGAAGCCTATGGTTATTAGCCCTCGAGATATTGAAGTTCACTTATTTCGACGTTTAGATGGTTTGTCACTTATGTATTAATAAACAAACCTCTGGAAATCAGCGTGAAGTGGTGAAGGTTGCACAACTACTTGTAGACTGAAAAATAATTGCGTAGGACCCTCAGGATTAAGAAAACGAAAAAACATTCTTTAAAATATTTTTATTTAAAACGTAGTTAAAATAGTATTTTAATAAAATCGAAAATAGCTTAGCAATTCTTCATTATTAGATATATCTTAATTATTTCTTGTTTTTAGGGTTTGAAAAATTATCAAAAATAATTATTAAATCACAAAATTTGCTAATCTAGTATACTTGTAATAAAACTGGTAAAATATAATAGTCAATTATCTTTTTAAATATATGTAAAAGCGATCAAATCAAAAAGATATCAATGTCTTCGTTAATTAACTCTGACGGGGAATTAACTACAAATTAAAATGACATCCAAAAAGGAAAACTCTTTCTTTGCTTTGCTAATGACATAGTTATTATATGATTGGATTATATAGCGTTTCAAATCCATCCGGGAGAGATCATTCGATGAGAGACACCGGGTCTCGAGACCCTATCTCTTGCTGCACATTAATCTGTCTGTTCGATTCACTGGCCCCTTCCAGTTAACAATCACAGTTTCCGAGTGAATTTTACACCTGTTGAGTTTGAAATATTTTTCTGGTTAGTGTGCACCTCAATTAATGAACCTAGTCAACTACCCACTTTGAAGAGAATCTGGCAGCCCTCTAGAAGATCAAGACGAGAATGTATAACCACAAAAAGGTCTAAATACTTACAGAAACTATTCAATATAATATCTTCATCAAAAACAATATGAAAACAAAAGTTTTGGCAGTAGAAACCCAAATCAACCTATTCACATCAATTTATACGAAACATCAATGATATAATTTCAAATACCTACACAGCTGGATCAGTGAAGACCTGAATTTCAATGAATAAATAATACTTGTTCAATTACAATTATTCTAATTAATGTAGTTTCCCATTAACTTCCTTTTTTACTTTCGAGATATTTTATAATTGGATTATATTACAACATATTGTTGCTAAAGGATTAGAAATACATGCGTTATTTCCTTGCTGGGAAGACAATGTTGATGCTGCTAATTAAAAGCATATAAATTTGGATCAACTGAAATTGAGTTAACACTTTAGTCATCTTGGTGTAAAATTTCGTGCTTAAGTATACTTATTTGAGAAACCAATAAATTATTTTTTCAATGCTACTACAATCGATCACATACTATTTTAGACAAAGAGCACTCAAATTAAACAGTATTTGTACAAAAATAGCCTGAACAGTCTTCTAACAAATGCAAAATCTCTTGACCCTGGGCAATTATAAAAGCAGAATTGGAGGAACTTAAGCCCAATTATTCTTTTGAGAATGACTAAAACATACAAATTTGCCAAAATTGTTGAAGATGAAAAAAATAAGATTCTCGAAGATCTTCAGTTGTCCGATTCCAGGCACTTCATTGGAGCGTTTGTCAATTTAAAAGTCCAATCCCTCCGGCAACGTTCCATTTTTCTTTGCCTTGCTATAATTCCTATAAAAATCGGAGAAGTCAACGTAAGCTTCAATTTTCTGATCAGATCCGATGTCATCATCAATTTTAACATCTCTACTACTTGAAGTGTCGTTGGTTTTGTTAGTAATGGTGGTACTATCACTGTTTCCACTACCAACCGTAGCAATAGATGCTGAACTATATCTATCTGAAATTGTATTTTTGGTAACAATAGGATTAAATGAAACCGAGGGATTTGTAGGTGATGTTATAGCGTTGGGCAAGGGGTAATTAAAGTTTCTAAGAACGAGAGTAATATCTTCACGTTTTGGAGAAAACGAATTGTTCAGCGAATTCGACATGTACCAGTCATGGTGAAGACGAACTGCTTTATCTACTACTGCTTGGGCTACTCCTGTTAAAGTGGCTTGTTCACGGAACTGAAACAGATAATAAAAAAATAATACAAATAATTATTAATAAAAATAGAAAATCTCTAATCAGAGAATTATCACAAGCATTTCATGTTTACCTGTTCAACAACACATTGAGCAATATATTTATTAACTTGATCTGTCCCTGTAGCCTCCTCTATAGATTTATAAAGACCAGCTGACATAAGTAAGAGAAACCTTGATGATTCATCCAAGACGATTCCTCCGTGAATGTCCGGCTGGGCAATTATTGGTTCTTCTGATGCCATAGCTAAATCTTCAAAATCTCTATAGCCTTCCTTAATAATGTAATTACCCAAACAGCGAGTATTTTCTTGGTTTCCTAATCTAGTACCTTAAAAAGAAAATACTTCATTTAATAGTTAAACAATAAGAAAAAAAAAATGGAATAACTTAGTTAAAATAGCTAGGTACTCACTCTTTCTAAGGCTTTTTAAATTTATTCCTAGTTGGGATAATCGAAGAAGTTCATCTTCATTTTTCAGATCATGATCTACACTCAGCTGTACCACTTTAAGAACTGCATTGAGATCTGTTTGGCACAATAAAACTCTACAATTACCAACATTTGCTACATACAGTTTATTATTATGGATCAGAGCTACTGCTGCAGCTGATCCCGAAGACAATTCATAGTTTATTTTGTTTATATTTTGAACTATGTGTGGTACTTTCTGATAAGCTTCATATTGAGTTAGGCCTTCAGGTATATCATACATCAAACTTGTTCTTTCAGCTAATAAATCTTCCAAACTCTGCATGTAACCCTTTTCTACTGTCATAAAAGCTTGATTCAGCAGTTCTTTGACTTCTTCATCAGACTGATTTTCCATTGGTTGGGAAAAGTAGATTTCAGCAGTCATCCTCTGGCAGCAGAAGTCAGCAGCCCTCTTACCTTCATGACCATCAAACACTGAATACCTGTAACATTGAGAATTATTTATACATGCAATTAAAAAATATATACAGTAATCATAAAGGATTATCGGGTCAAACTAACCTAATCAAATAAAACCATGACAAAAATTCCAATGTAGAAACTAATTCTGATGACTTTAAACTAAGTTTTATCATTATCAATGAGTTGCCACATTATTTAGCATATATTTTCCTTTTAAAAGTGATATTTCAATATCTTAAATAAACAAATGTAAATCATTTGCAGTACTTTTAAAGGAGAATAAACGTATAAGCAAAGTAGAGAGCCTTATATGAAACAAAAACGCATTGATTGATGAAACTGGTATAAGAACTAATCCTCATTTCCATGAAAACCCTAATGTTAAATTAAACACATAATCTAGTAGGATAACTCACCAATAGAAACCCTCATTAAATTTAAAGTGACAACTGCAGTCTTCATAAGTATGTTCTTCTTGGGGGTTTCCATCCTCTCTATAAATTTGGTTAGTTGAATATCCTATTCCAGTGTTCTTACAAACTGGTAAGTCATCAGTCCAACTTTGTGAGTTTTTATAGGTTGAGTGTGGTGACTTTAGAGAATCCATTGTATAATAAACATAACATATAATTAAAACTAATAAAATATTAAATACTTATTTATAAATAAAATAAAAACATAACCCTACATATCTAAACGTCAAAATTGACAATAGCCACAGTACACTTCCATCTAGCAGTGCCAGTCCTGTGTTAACAAGTAAAATGACGATTGGCACATCGCCTAGTGCCAGGGTGCGTAACTATATACATACAGAGCGGTAAATTTAAAAGGCACGTAAAATTATCTACGATTGACATTTTAAAGTAGGGGAAAATCAATATAATCCTAAAATAACGAAAAAAAACCTTATTCTATACGATGATATGTATATATTTGGGTTTTCTTGCTATGTTGAGGTTATATTTATTTTCCATTTCGCGTCGCAGTGTTGCCACATTTTGTGTATAATGTATACGAATGTTTCAAATAAAAGTTTTGCACTATGCTACTTTTACAAAATTATAATTTGTGTTATGAAAAGCTACAAGTTTTGATTAAGTATAAAACAGTATACAATATTATTTAGTTCAGTTAAACTTAAGTTTAGTTTAATGTTTTAATTTAGATGTTATCTTTAATTTAATCTATTCTTTAATTTGTTTTATTATTTAAATGCATTTTTTATACACGCATTTTATTTTCTATGTTCTAATTTAATTTATACTATTAATCTTTTATATAATGGTAATGCATTTAATTATTTTATCTTTAATTTAATTAAAATTTATTAATTTTTATATTATTTCAATGTTTCAATGCATTTCAATTATAGAATGTATTTTTTTTTAATTATTCATCCTTGTGTAATGTGAGACTATGAAATAACTGACGATGTGGCAACTCTGATATGTTTGGTTAATTAAAAATCGTCTAAAATTCTACCTTTTTGCAATATTATGAAAAAATAAAATAAATAATATGGCGTCTTATTCTTTTCAATAGATAGAAGCGAAGGGATAGGAAGAGAAGGAAAACTGGCACTGCCACCAAACGGAAGGGTGCCAAATAAAAACATTCGTTATCTTTGGCCATCCTTGTTACGGCTCGTTGGCTCAATGCTGTTAACGGTAGCTGCATTAAATTCCAGTTTTGTTTTTGTTGGTTTCTTTTTTTAGGAATAAAATCATAAAAGTCTTAAATTTTTTACTCTCGTATAGATAATATGTATAAAGGCAAATTTGTAGTTAAAAGGATTTTAGTAATTAGTCAAAATCTAATTCCCACTCCAACTCCTAACATAAAGATGTGTTGCCTATGCTAGCTCGTTGATTGAAATTAATATTTCAATTAATTCCCGTATTTCAATGTTTATTTTTAAATAATAATTTAAATCACATGCAATTTTATCCGATATTATCTTTAAAACAACCATACATAAAATAAACATTGCCATTTTAAAGATTTTTAAACATTAATGATCACCAAGATGTGACAATTATTTCCTCTACTAAATAATTTTATTAAAATTTCTACGATTTAAATTAGCTTATGAAAATTTTCATATGTATTGAGGAATTGATGAAGAGATCTAATTTTATTTTTGACAAAATATCCTAGATGCCGCGATAAAAAGCAATTACATTTTTACAAAGTTTATCTGTCAGTGTCAGTGTCGTGTCAGTTCAGTTCTCGTTTAATTTAGTTGTTACGAGGTGAAGTTGAATATCGCTCGTCTATATTCTTTGCTTGTATTTTTGTATCTCCTTACTATTGCCGCTCAAGAAATAGATTTCAAGTCTGCTTAGATTTTTAATATTTCTACATTAAAAATAGTCTGTTTAGAAGATGGCAGTTTCAGTTAGAGGTTTCTCTCATCGGATTGGACATTTAAGTAGTGTTTTAGCTACTGTTAAATCATCCCCCAGAACTTATTTTACATATACGAACGAACCCTCACAGCCTATTAAAGGAAAAGAGCCAAAATGGACTACTGCAGAGGAAGCTTTCCAAGATTTACAATCAGGTTAGTGTTTATATTTATTAATCAGGGATTTATATTACTGTGCACACGTCCTTGATTCATATAAATTAGTTAATAGTATAGTTAATTATATCGTTGTACTTTGACCAACATGTTAAAAAGATTTCTAAATCTTTTTTCTTTAAGATTTTCCCTAAACATTTAAGAGTATCTAAAATAGAAGAATGTCTGCTTTTTATGTAGTTATTAAAGAAAAAGTTGGCGTTTCTCTTTAGTTGTTTATCGAATTCCTAAATAATTAGATGTACTTAATTTGAATTTCAATCACTATCTATTTAAAACATGCATACAGATTTGGCAGCCTTGAAACTAAAATTTATATTAGTATAAAAAATTATATTGACTGTATTGTTCATCAGAATTAAGTTATATGTTTATTAAAAAAATATATGTTAGGGAATTCATGGTTTTATATTATAACAGGGTTGCTGTTACTTTAATTTGAACTGATTTTTGCCATGGATTCAATGACAGATTTTTAATATCCATTCAATTATTGTGGTATAATGGTTTTTTCATTTTAATTTTCTCTTTGGTGATCTATACTTGGTACTTATGTTTTCTTTGATTATTCTTGAGAAGTTTCCACTTCTACTAGTTTACTAAAATGTTTTGTCAATCTTTTAATTATTTAGCCGATGTTACTGATAATGTTGTCATAAATGCATTTTCAAATATAGGCTTTTATTGATTCTTCTTCTTCTTCAAGTGCCCTGTCCGTTGCGAACGTTGGCTATTAACATGGCAATTTTGATCTTGTTTGCGGCGCTTCTGAATAGTTCGGCCGATGTGAGCCCGAACCACTTCCGCAGATTTTGGAGCCACGAGTGTCTTCTCCTGCCTGGCCCTCGCTTACTGTCTATTTTTCCCTGGACAATCAATTGTAGCAGACGGTACTTATCGTGTCTCAATATGTGGCCTAGATATTCAAGCTTTCTTTGTTTAATTGTATTCACGATTTCTTTCTCCTTTCCGATTCTTTGGAGTACCTCTATGTTGGTGACATGTTCGGTCCAGGATATACGAAGAATGCGTCGGTACACCCACATTTCGAATGCTTCTAGTTTTCTCGTTAGCGTCTCCGTCAGCGTCCAGGCCTCCACGCCATACAGCAAGATTGGAAAAATGTAGCATTTAACTATACATAGTTTTAGGGGAAGAGACAAATCCTTGCTTATGAGGAGCTGTTTCATATTGCTAAATGCTGCTCTAGCTCCTTCTATTCTCGCCTTAATTTCTATGGTCTGTTCCCATTTTGTATTTATGTTGGTGCCAAGGTACACATAAGATTCTACATGGTCAATTAATATGTTACTTATCCGTAATTGTCGAGCAGGTTGTTGCTTTTTGCTTATCAGCATCCACTTTGTCTTCTTGAAGTTGAGGCTCAGGCCGTATTCCTCACTAACTGAATAAAGTCTTTCCATTACTTGTTGTAATTCGTCTATGGTACTGGCAAGGATCACCGTGTCGTCGGCGTATCTTATATTGTTCGTTAACTCGCCGTTTATTTTAATGCCCTCATTTGCATTTTCCATACATTTGTTAAATATTTCCTCGGAATACATATTGAATAGGAGTGGGGATAATATACACCCCTGACGGACACCTCTTTTGATCTGCACGCTTTCAGTGAGTTCGTTGCCAATTTTTGCTCTTGCTGTTTGACCCCAGTATAGGTTTGCCACAATTCGAATGTCCTTGTCGTCAATACCTGTCTTTCGCAGAATACCTATCAATTGTTCATGATTGACATTGTCAAATGCTTTTCTAAAATCTACAAAGCACAGATACACGTCTTTATCAACGTCTCTACACCGTTGTATAAGCACCTGGAGAGCGAAAATTGCTTCTCTAGTTCCAAGTGCTTTCCGAAAACCAAACTGCGATCTATCAATATTTGACTCACATTTATCATATATTCTTCTGTGAATGATCTTAGTGAACGCTTTAGTGACATGATTGATCAAGCTTATGAGCCGGTAGTCATCACAAATCTGGGCATTTGGTTTCTTCGGGATTGTAATAAATGTTGACTGTAGCCAGTTCTCCGGGATTTTACCGCTATTATATATGTTGTTAAAAAGTACAACTAGATTGTCAAGGAACTGTTTGTCTGATTTACATAGGATCTTTAATATTTCGCAGGGTACATTGTCCGGACCTGCTGACTTATTGTTTTTTAGTGCTGCAATGGCATCTTCTATCTCCGATTTAAGAATTGAAGGTCCTGTTTCTCCTTCTCCATATAGGTGATCATCAGTCCTGTTAGATGCAAATAATTTTTCTATGTATGATTTCCATATGTTTTTAAGATCGTTGATGGCTCCGAGATAAGATTTCCATCGCTATCTTTTATGCTGTTGGGTGACTTATTGAATTTCCTCTTGTTTGTCATCGATTTTATTTTTTTGTGCATATTGTAACTGTCGTATTTTCGTTCGTATTGTTCTATTTCCCTGCATTCGTTGGAAAACCATTTTTCTTTGGCTTCTCGAATTTTCGTTCTTATGGTTTTGTGGATCTGCTGGTATTTTTCTGCATTTTTATTCTTGAATTTACGTTTTATTGATTAACAATCTGAATCTAATTATATGTAAGGACTGTATCAATATTTTTTGTTACAACAGAACGTAGATTATCTGAACTAATTGGAAGACATGGGTCTTTGGAAAATAATTTTTTTTAGATAATTGAACTGTATTGATCTAGCTGTCTGTGAATAAAAGCTATTTTTACATACCTACTTATGTATTTATATCTTTATTGGCAAATAGGAATTAAACAGAAAAGCGTTGTCTTTGCAACAAAACATATACTAGTCACAATATTGACGAACATTTAAGATTTTTAAGCATTTTAAAGAAATCTTGTCTCAGTTCTTGTCTGTCCAAGGAACTCTACCCGTTTACGAGCGGTTAGGTCATGTAGTTTTTTTAAGGACAGGTCTTTTTCATTCCAACATCTGTACTTGAACTGTATTGATCTAGCTGTCTGTGAATAAAAGCTATTTTTACATACCTACTTATGTATTTATATCTTTATTGGCAAATAGGAATTAAACAGAAAAGCGTTGTCTTTGCAACAAAACATATACTAGTCACAATATTGACGAACATTTAAGATTTTTAAGCATTTTAAAGAAATCTTGTCTCAGTTCTTGTCTGTCCAAGGAACTCTACCCGTTTACGAGCGGTTAGGTCATGTAGTTTTTTTAAGGACAGGTCTTTTTCATTCCAACATCATTATCAAGAAGTTATAATGGTTTCTCTCGTTTGCTATTTTTTAATGGATGGTCTTTAACGGAAGATATAAAAGTTTCTATAAACCATTCTATGATAATTAATTGATATATGAATATGATAATAAATTGGACTAAAGTGTGGATTTCCAGATTCTGAAGTTTAGTCTGACTGATGTTTTCGAGGAGATTATGAAATTAAAAATTACATATTCTTCAGGGCCTGATGGTATACCTGCAGCACTTATTAAGAACTGTATTTTTCCCTTTGTAAACCTTTACAACAAATTTTCAATTTATCATTATCATCATCTGCATTTTCACAATATTGGAAAAATAGTTTTCTTACACCTATCTATAAATCTGGCAATCGCGAAACATAATTATTGATGAATAACATGGATTCTCTAATGGGAAGTCTACAGTAACAAATCTTGTCAATTACCAACAATACTTATTGGGTGCATTTGAGAAAAAAATTCAGGTTGACAGCATTTACACTGATTTCTCAAAGGCCTTTGACCAGGTTAATAATAATGTTTTGGTCCACAAACTTCATGCATCTGGCTTTGGTGATCCTATTGTTAATTAGATTAAAAGTTTTCTGATGGAACATACACAGCAAGTTCATATTAACAATTATATTTCAAAAGTATTCCATTGTTATTCTGGTGTAACACAAAAGTCTCATTGTGGTCCCTTGTTTTTTAATTAGTTCATTAACGATATTGGTAAGGCTATCAAAAACTCACACTTCCTGCTATTTGCTGATGATCTTAAGTTATTTCGTTGTATACATAATAAATCGGATAGAGATCTCTTGCAAGATGATATAAATAATATATGTTTATGGTCAAAACAAAATGGTTTAAGCTTAAATCTAACTAAATGTTCTTGTATTTCATTTGGTACTACAAATAATTTAATAGCTAATACATATGTTCTTAATGATGTACTCTTGGATTCAGTTACTGAGATTAGAGATTTAGGTATATTATTAGATTGTGCATTGACATTTAGAAGCCATTTTTTAAAATTAAGGAAACAGGTTTTCATAATCTTGGTTTTATTTATTGTAACAGTCATGATTTCTCATCTATTGTATTCAAATTATTATATTGCTCTTTGGTATGCTCAGGTGTTGAATACTGCTCTGTTGTTTGGTCCTCATTTCCTCAAGTATACATTAATGGATTGGAGAGCATTCAGAGGAAGTTTCTAAGATCTTTAGCTTTTAAAGCACATATTAATATAAAAAATACTGAAAATTATTTCATAGATTATTCTATAATAATGTATCAATTTAACATTGCTACATTGAAGAACCGCAGGTTGAGAGTTGATATGTTATTTTTGTTTAAAATTCTAAACAATGTTATTAATTGTCCCTCGTTATTAGCCAATGTACACTTAAACACAATACATAGAACTCGACACACTGCACTCTTTTGTATTCCTTTTCATAGGACTGATTATGCTAGTCATTTTCACTTGTCGAGAATGCTCAGCTTTTGCAATGACTTCATATCGGATCCTTTCTGCCCAAACATTAATGATTTCAAAAGGCAACTTAATAATCTAATTATTAATCTAGATATGTGATACTTTGTTTTTTTTTACTTTTGTGATTTAATATACTGTTTTAATGTACAAATTTTAACTGTTTACTTGTTTCTTTGTTATTGTTTTGATGTTTATTGTACATGATATTTACTGTTTACTATTTGTTGTATTTTATTGT